CAGACATTCAAAAATTAAATCCAGACTGGTGGAATTTTATTTAATCGTCATTTGTTTCCGTTGGACATGGTTTGTAATGTCTTATGTAAAGGTTGTTGAGTTCAGGTTCTACCCAAAAACCTAGTCAAGATAGAATCCAAAATTGTGATTTTTGTTGTTGTGAATATTGCTTGTAAAATAATGTTTTCAGGATACTGTATTCAATATTGGGTTCAAAAATCTATTTCCAATACCACTGTCACGCATCAAATTTGTGCATAAGCTATCAGGACATACTATATAAAAGATAAATTCACAGTTAGTTTTTCAAAAGAAATTTCCGGGGAGGAGAGAACTACAACGGATCCCCATAGAGTAGGAACCTCTCGCGAGGTCAGGTTCAGGAGCCTTTCTGTCCCCGATCCTTCTCTGGTATCATCTTGATTCTAGACCGATAGTAAACACAGGTTTGTTATTCATTTCATGACAAGTTCTTGCAATTGCCACGATAATACTGTTTTTCGCTAGCAATGGACACTAGATAATGCCAGTTGCGGATTAAGCTCCACCAAGGCCTGAGGCGGCAGTTGCTGGAGGGCCTATTTAGTTTTTAAATAGGGCCTATTTAAAATGTCGTGGGCCTAATTAATTTCGGGTCAGGGCCTATGTTGATTCCCGTTGGGCCTAAACCCAACCCCCCTAACATTCATTGTCTATGCGTTTTTAATCGTATCAGACAAGTCTAAAAAAAATTTTTTTTACAAAATCTTTGGGCCTGAGGCTGCAGCCTCATCAGCCTCACTGATAATCCACTATTGGATAATGCATATATGATACCCAAGGACGGGCTAATATTTGCTCCGTGGGGGCAAAGAAGGGGTTCTCCGCAACCTGTCTCGAAATTTCTTTGAAAAAACTGACTGTAAATTATGCTTTCTAGTATATCCTGGTGTTTTTAGCTTATGCATATATTTTAACAATTTATCAAAACGACGTACATTCATGATTAAGCAAGAACATTAATTAGTTTAGGGAGCCCCGAAACTACCATAATCCCTTCCAGTTCATCCCTGAACAGGGAGGGGAAAGATAGATTGTTAAAATGTGTTTCAAATTCATGCATTAATTGATTACTTTAATCATCAGTAAAACATAAGCTATATAAAATGTTAAGTCGTATTTTATTTCACAGTTCTATAAAACAAATGTTTCCGTTTTATTCAATGAACAATTTATTGTTAGGTCGTGTAGAAAGATATAGTGTTAAAACGTGTTGCAAATCTACGTATTACATGGCCGATCTAAACTTATCATATAGATGACTTATCACATAAATTAACAAACGGTATATTATTAAACAGGTATACAAAATGTTTCCGTTTTATTCAATGAACAATTTATTGTTAATTCGTGTAGAAAGATATGATATGAAACGTGTTACAAATAAATGAAATGAAATGGGGTTTAACGTCCTACTGTTCTGCTGCTATACTGGGCTAATGAAGACGGGCATACGCCATACAGTGTGCTATGAGGGAAATTTTGCCCGGGCAGCGGCACTATCGCCTACTCTTGTATCGAATTCCAACTGCCAAGGGATCTTTTACGTGCATTCCAATGTTTACACGGGACCTCGGTTTTTCGTCTCATCCGAAGAACTAGACAGCTGTCCTTGTCAGGCCCTGCATCACTGACAAGGGGAAACCTCGTCGGAAAATCGGGATGAACTTTCTCGGCCAATGCAGGGATCGAACACCCGACCTCCAGGCTAGCGAGCCAGCGCCTTACCCACCTAGCCACCGTGGCCCCGTGTTACAAATAAACAGTTGGTATATTAGTCGAGTATTTTACGGCTACAAGAAATGTTTTTGTAAAACTGTATGTAAATGGTACTTTCTATGATATATCATGGTGTTTCGAGATTATGCACATATTTAACGTGTGGCATTCTTAACAATTCATAACTAACAGGGGGCCCTAAACTATGCATTAACATTAACCAGTTTAGAGACCCTTGAAACTACCATGCCCCTTTTCAGTCCATCCCTGGAACGGATACCAGATCGCATAACCATTTCTGATTAGGGCGCAAATTCTTAACAACTAGATGTACCGAAACAACTTTAACCCCTGTTAAGATGATGCAAATACACACTAAATGAAGAAAATTGCACTAAGAAAGGAACGCTAAACAGATGTTTGAAATTCTTAAATTTAATGTTGAACCAAAAATAGAATACAGTAACCATGAAAACCTTATTAGATATATTTTAAAAGCAATATCCACATGGAAAAATCACCATAATGGATTCTAATTTGGTTGCCGTTTTAAGTTTATACCATCTGGGCTATTTAAAGTTAGATTTAGGAGTCAGAATTGAACCCAGTAACCTCAAAAACCTTATATAAGACATATTACAAGTCCTATACAACGGACGAAATTGACGATTAATTAAAAATTCGCCATTTTGGACTTCATTTTAGCGGTCATATTGAATTTCGAAATTAATTTTTTGAAATAAGAATTCAACCAAATGACATCTAAAACCATGTGAAAGACGTGTTAAAAGTCATATTCGTTTTGAATTTCTACCATGTTGGATTTTCAAAATTCATTTTCAAATCCCAGAGACATCGAAAACCATATAAAGGACATAGTGCCTGGTTATATTCGGGGACAATGACATTTTATTACCAAACTCAGGAGTCCGTTTGAAAAAAAAAAAATGGCTGGTACTATGTGAAAGAATTTTTTAAAAAATTGGTCAAATTTGTTATTTCCGGAACATTTCGCCTCTATTACAACTTTGTATTGTAAGATTTTAATTTTTAAAAAAAATCTATTTATTGTCCCACCACTTAAACGCACTAGTTAAATATATCACTCCCAGCAATCTCCTGGAGACCGTCATATTGAATTATGTTAATTACGCCTAGCCAGACACCGGCCGAATTTGAGTATGATGTTGTCTAATATAAGTATGATTGACCCAAACTGCATGGTTTCTTTTGCAATTTGAGATTAACTTGCCCCACACCATTTAAGCGCACTATGAAATGAAATGGGGTTTAAAGGGAATTCAAACCGTGGTCCTGTGTACAATTTTGCGAGAAGATAAAAGATCCCTTAGAATTTGGAATTCGGTAAACGGTAGGCCGTAAGGCTGCTGTCCAGGCAAAACTTCCCTCATAGCACACTGTATGGCGTATGCCCGTCTTCATTAGCCCAGGTCACAATTCTATGGAATACTAGTACTGCTTATAACAAAACAATATATACATGTACACAACCATACTTAGTTACTGCTGACCAATCAGAGATACCCCTTCTAATTACATGTACTATACCGGCATCCCTGCATCGCATTAAGAAAGTAAGATTGTTACATGCATGTACATATTTTCCTTCTGTTCTTCGTATCTGATCGATGAAACTCAAATGCCCGTATCTCAGCCAATTTCCAAGCTACAGACCACAAATTTTAAGCAGTTTCTAGTTTTTACATGTACAATAGCATATATTTTGTTCCCGATTTTTTCGAGGGGCTCGATTTCCCACCCCTGGCCAAATTGACATGGAAGAACTGACGGGTTTAAGCGACTACTGACAACACGTATACATGTATTTATCACGAGTTTCCATGAATAGTAACCACAATTAAACATACATTATGCAAGAGCTAAATCTGTCTATTGCAAGTCTTTCTTTGGGCCTGAAATGTTATCTAAATTATTAATTAGACATTAATTAACTTATCCAGACCATAATCAACTCTCGATGTCATCGCTAGCCTGCGATCTTAAGTGGATTGTGAGCTGATTTACTGCATAACTTTCCTTCTCGATTAAACAATTAAATGGATAATCGAGACTATGCTGTTTATCGTACTGACTTTAGTAATGATGACTGAGGCTAGGCAGAAATTTCATTCGCTTAGTTCTCGGTTCATAGTGGATCAACAATTTGAATGGAATTTCAGCAAATTGCCTTTTACGTTATCTAGTTTTTATCGAATCTCCCATAATGTATCTTTGACTTATTCTACGTGATTTGAGGATATTTTAACACAGAATCCAGTAAGTAAAAACTCACAGATCAGTTCTACACACTATCCATCCAGCAGTGAATCATCGTGGGAATAATATCAATAACTGAATACAGTAACAACCAACTTATATAAAACTGCTTCCAGAGTAGACTTTATTTGTTACTCTTAAATTTTAGGCTACGTGTCCAGTGCTCCCAGTGAGCGAATTGTGGGTGGGTCTGATGCCAAATCTGGTGAGTTTCCCTGGCAGGTATCTCTTCAATTGAATACTGGGATAGCCTACGCGCACATCTGTGGTGGTAGTCTTATTTCTGCTGACAGAGTTCTGACTGCTGCTCATTGTGTTGATGGGACAAGGTAAGTTTAATGTTCCTTTTTTATTAAAAACAAATCCAAATGATACAAATAAACATTTGAACAGTTTATTTGAAATTTTGTTTCGGCTAATAATAACATGTCTTCAATGTTTAACTTTCAGTGCCAGAGACTTAAGAGTTGTTTTGGGTAAACTCAGACTTCAGAATGTTGATCAAACTGAACAGATCTTGTTTCTATCGTCTCTCGTTATGGTATGTCCATATTGTGGGATTTATTTGTTGCTTTGTATTAATCAATAATTTATTTCAGGACATTAAATTAGCCTGCTTCAAAATATGGCTTAGAAACGCCGACCCATGCTTTTTCAATCTATCTGGAAGAAGTGTTAACTTTCAACAGCGGATCGACCACCTTGAATACCAGTGGATGAGGTAGACTGATAGGTAAATAGAAAATTCCCGCAACTTAGTACAATTACAATACCTGGGATGTCTTGTTTTAGCATGTAAGAATTCTAGTTTTAAACTTCTTGAAACAGCAAATATATGAGAACAAGAAACATTCCATGCTAACAAATAAAGTAGTTTACTTAAAATTAACCAGGCTTTGTATTGATATAATTATTTATACTCATTATATTACATTTAATGCTAGGTGGTGGAGCTCTTCCCAATACTTTACAGTGGGTTAACATGAAACAAATATCCAACGCCCAATGTGCAGTCGATATGACCGATGTTACTGGTGGGAAAATAGGACCTGGTCACATCTGTGTTTCCCAAGCTGATACATCTGCCTGTAACGTGAGTATTGAACCAACGGCCTTCGATCACATTTTGCCGGGACTGGGAAGAAAAGTCTACCTAGTAGTTAGCAAGGGCGATAAAGCGTATATATATTGTCATGCACGTAATAGACCCCTTCGTAGTTGAAAATCGAGAAGTATGTCCGGAAACATTTCTGTCAGGTAAATTATCCTACCTGACATTGCAGTCGTAACCTTAGAAATAAAGAGTAAAATACCTATATCTCAAGACGTCCAAGGTATTGTATTGACTAGACATTGAATCCCATTCCGTTCGATGGTGGGGTTATGGATGTTGGTCGGTCGTCAAAACTGAACAATACATCAATTCAATTGCACTACTGCTCCGATGCAGTGCAAGACATAAGTGGCCAATGTACATACAGTTAGGCATGTTAATATGGCTGCAGCAGACGATGAATATGTTTTGATTGTTGGGTATCACGTTGATTTATGGAACGAAAATATTGCAATCCCGACAAAATAATCCGGGGTATAAGTATGTTAATACATGTATGTATCATTATAGGGTGATAGTGGAGGACCTATGGTATGTAGTGGTGTGTTGGCTGGTGTTGCATCATGGGTTGTTGGCGGTTGTCTTACGAACTACCCAAGTGTGTATGGGCGAGTTTCTGAATATAGAAACTGGATTGACAAGATCTAAAAATGAATATAGAAACTGCATTGACGAGATCTAAAAATGAAAACCTTTGATAAAACTTTGAACACTAGCCTTTGATGTCTGTTTTATGCTCTACTGAGAGTAATTAGCCTTATAACTTAAGGTGATATTTATAAAAACTGTGTACATGTGCCGAGCTCCCCGGAGTGGGCCATGGTTATACTTCCTATTAAAATAACGTAACAGCGAGCATTGTTACAGTAGGCACATTCCATACATATGGCACATTCACAAAATAAATCGTCTTTGACGTCATTCAAGGACACAGTATTGGCTCTCTGCCTCGGTGATCCGCTCCTGAAATCCACTTGCCGTGGACCTAAATGTTTGGGAGTTTGGCACAGATACCTGCAGAAAATGACGCGGGATAATATTCTGACAGATTTTTAATTTCATTTCGTTATCCAATATCCAATCCATTAAGTGGGATGATAACAAATCTGCGGACGGGAGTCCCAGTTTTAATTTGTTTTATATAGACTGAAAATCCTGGATCCACCACTACTACTGGCTAGACTCTGGTTGATTGACAGGCCTGGATTATGAAGATTATTTTATGCGAAACATATACATTTTGGGGATTTCGGCCAAAATGGGAGTGGCCGCAATTATTCAAATGACCATACCCCCGTAAACAATAGGTCAGAATTGCCGGAAAAAGTATTTCTGGAATAGGAAAGACAATGACATTGTGTAGAAGACATGTTGAGCCAAATTTTTCATCTCAAGGTCACATGGTCTACAAGATCAAATTCAAGTCAAAAAGTCTCCACTCACACCTGAATGTCAAAAATACGTGTAAATTTAGAATCCTAGTGGAATACCCATTCCAGAAATACTTATTCCAGCAATTTTGACCTATCGGTTACTGGGTTTTGGTTATTTGAATAATGGCGGCCACGCCTATTTTGGCCGACATCCCCTAATAAACATATAAACCAAATTTCAACTAAATCGAAGGGGGTACGGTTTAACTCATTGGGTGATAAATTGACATGGACATTTTGATACTTCTACTTAGCAACCATCATTATGACGTCGTTTGGTGTTGAAATTGAAAACAACATCGAACGTGACATGAAATGAAATGGGGTTTAACGTCCTACTGTTCTGCTCCGAACTGGGATAATGAAGACGGGCATACGCCATACAGTGTGCTATGAGGGAAATTTTGCCCGGACAGAGAGGCACCATGGCCTACTCTTATATCGATTTCCAACTGTCAAGGGATCTTTTACCTTCTCCAGAGTTAATTCGTAATCGATACTGTTTAAAAAAACAGGATAGTGTTATAACTTCTTTTTGGGGGTTCGTGACGAAGGAAAGTCACGACGTAACCCTAAGTGCACAGTGTCACGCAATATTAATGTTAAATAATCTCCTGGCTTGGATTCAAACGGGTTAGAAAAAGGCCGACGGATCAGAAATCAGGTGTCGCATGGCCTAATCTTATTCTGAATTCCAACTATCAAGGGTTTTTATTTACGTGCACGCCAATGAGTACACGGTACCTTGCTTTTTCGTCCGTTCCGAATGGCTATACGTCGACCCTGCATCACTGACGGGGGGGGGGGGGCACGCCGGAAAGATCGCAATGAACTTTCTCGGCCAGCAAAGGGTCTCCTCATGAGGATCGGACATTTCATAGAATTGGTTGACCCCCTGGTTCAAATACCTGTGCATTGTCAGTATCCCAAAAAGACGCGAATTATGCCGTTTGTATTTCATTACATAAATATGTGTGGACTGGGGCCTGCAACCGAAAATGAATATACCTCCTAATGCTGTTTACTTCTAGTGGCGGAAATAAATGGAATTTAATAAAGCAATAAATGTGTTTCATTTATTGTTTGATTCGCATGCCATGTGATAATCAAATTTTATACATATGGCGGATTAACTCTTATCAGGAAACAGAATGGGAAAATAAAATATATTTACGCTATGGATATGTTTAATTTATTGATTTATTGGCATGGCTGCCATGTTGCATATCATAATCAAATTTTACCAGGACACAGAATGGAACAATAAAATTTCACAACAAAAAGTATTTAGATGTTGTTGTTGTTAATTACAGATTTAACGCCCAATACATTATATATGAGATTATGGACATTATTGATTTAATTACATTATTTACTCTTAAAGGGTTGAAAATTGGTAAATCACAAAATAAATAAAACAAAGTCCTTGTATATCAAATTGTCACCTTCAAACACTTATCAAAATAAAAACAAGTTGGCTGATGTTTGGCGTCATCAGTGCGGATAGAAAAAAAACACCCTTGGGGAGAATCTACTTGCTTTATCTGGTAAAGCGTAGTGCTCGTGGTAAAAACCACATTGCTGGACACGTGGATTATTTACATATAACAAAATGTTTGTCCAGTAAATTCCATGTTTAACAATAAATGAAAAATTCAAAACTTCAACGTTTAAAAGTTATAAGCATTCCTTTTTGGGGTTTTCTTGTGTACGACTCTTCCTAGATAAAAGTTACATGAAAAGAAAACGAAGAGCCAGCAGCAACACATAACAAAAGAATTCAACCAAGTTAAAACAGTTATACATGGCATTCAATATTTTTAGTTACAGGTTAAATTGATTGATATGCACTGCCATTGTTAATAATGGTTGTGTAGGTCCCCATTCCTTTTGTAAATATTTTCCCCTAATATACTCTTCAAAAAAAGTGAGGATATTCAGAAACAATACAAAACTGCAGAAATGCGCTGTTGTTTTTATTAGACGTAACCAGTGTATGTTAATAACATGCCAATTGCCTACACATGAACATTAACAGTTCATATGGGTGGCTTATCTGACGGCCCCGTTTCACTCGCAAAGAGATACACTGTCATTTTTGTCTTAATAATGAGTAATTGCTCCACCAATCCTCAGACATTCAGCAATTCGTCGTGGCATGCTCCTAATCAACCGTCCAATCACGATTTTGGGCAATCTGACCCACTCCCCTTGAAGTGTTGTCGATTGACGTCGACGAACACGTCTCCCGATCATATCCCAGACATGCTCTATAGGGAAAAGGTCAGGACAATATGGTGACGCTGGTGGTAGTCATTCACGACACGAGCGCGGTTGGCACGGGCATTATCATCTTGAAGGATGAAACGTCGACCTGCACGTTGAGCAAAGGGCAGAACTATCGGTGCCAGGGCGTGGTCACGGTAGTACACACCAGTGACTCATTCCTTGTACAATATGCAAGTCCGTTCTGCCTGTCATGGTGATTCCTCCCCACACCATAACAGACCCACGCCCGAATCTGTCATGCTGTCTGACGTTAACGTTAGCATGACGTTACACGCCTCAAAATGCGAGCACGCCTATCGGTCAAATGGCGAGTTAATAGAGGCACAACACGCGGTCGTCGCGTATGCAAATGGGCTGCACGTAGCCGATTTCTAATCGTTTGGGGTGTAACTAGAATTCCTGTAACTTGGTACAAGTTTACAGAAAGTTGATTGACCGTTTCGCAGGACCTGTGTACGAATGTATCGATCCTGGGCTTGTGTAGTGGCTCTAGGACGACCCGAACGAGGTCTATCATCAACATTGTGTGTTTGTTGGTACCAGTTCCACAGTCTGCTGATCACAGACTGTGGCACATTAAGCATGTTGGCTACTCCTCGCTGTGTAGAACCCATTTAAAGCATGCCAACAGCACGTAGACGTTCATCATGTTGAAGACTTCTCATTGCAAATTAAACGTAACACACTAAAGCAAAGATACGCGAAACAGAAAGTCTTATGTAAGAACCTATAGGAAAGCAAACATGGATAGGATAAATCAGCACGCGGCAGTTTTCATCAACCCTAAATAAATACAAAAAGCAATTCGAAATAATTTTTTAAAAAAGTAATTTCGAGAAGTAAAACCAAAAGTATAGGAACCACCTAAGTTTCAATAAAATCATGCATTACAACTATTTTTATTTATGTATCTTTCCATAAAGTTATGGGGTGCATTTTATAGGGCTGGTCCCGGTGAACGGCACGTTTAGCATGAGTTACATGAAAATCATAGATAACACATTACCATCTCAGAAGTCAGGTTGCGTTTTTGAGAACATTTCCTGGGTCCAATTCTGTGTTTGGGAAGGAGCCTTATTGCTCAGGTAAAGTTGGAGATGTGGTCACAAATATACAATAAACACATTTGGCAAGTTTTATGCAACATACCAAGCTGCTTAGTATATTATCGAGTTTCGGGACTATAAATTACCCCCGTCTAGTACCGTGCCGTTTACTCCAGAAAAAATTAGCCCATTATATTAATTACGATAAAATAATCACTTTATAAATGTAGGGCTAACTTGATTAATATTGGTTTATTTGAACCTAGTTTTTATTTCAATATATCTGATAAATATAAGACAATGCAGGCCCTGTTTCTAATCACACGTGTTTATAAAGTGCGTTAATAAAAATAGCATACAACAACGCAGTATAGTATACAGTCAAAAGTTAAAGCAATGTAATCAGTTTTTATTGTCAGTTTAAAATACTGAGCCATTCAGATATAACTGACGAATTGTCATGATCACGCGGATTTTTCAGGCTAAAGTCTAACCAGAAAACTTATTGTCCTTACATAATAAAAGTTATATTACTGTTATTAATTCCATTCAACCGTTGGTTTGTCTTCAAGTCGGCATTTGTGTTCATGGACATCATGATGAGATGGCAACGTTATATATATGTTCAAAAGAACACGTTATTTGTGTATAAAGCAAATGATAACCTCCCGTGTTCAATAGTCTAATTATGCCAAGCACTCTTGCGTTAAAATGAAATAATTATTGGGGATTCTCGCTGCAAATAGCATGCATCAATTGTGCTTGGAAATAAAATCAGTAACTTTTATGTGATCGTTAATTTTAGATCTAAAGGTTTTAGCTGTCAACTTCTTGTCGACATGTTGCTTTCATTTCTGTCACGGCAATAATATTTTATGCATGTATTTGTGCTTCAGTGTTTCCTCCTTGCTCGTGATTGGCTATTCAAGATAAACGTGGCTTATGGACCGATTATGTTCGTGTATGAGGAAAGGTATAGCAACATCAATTGCAGAAATCGACATAAATATGTCTGTACATTTAGAAACAAATTTTATTATCGGCTTAAATCGATTGTAACACGTGTTTAAATTTCTGCATCCTCAACAGTCGATATCCTGGCTTATGATTGGTTGGCATTATTATCCCATTACCAGCAAATACATCTTTTCAGATACTTCCTGGGAAACATTATTGTTATTCTAGAAAACTTAAAAAATCTCGTAATTTGAGTGATATAGGAAACCCTTTCAGAATTGATTCTCTAATAAGAATATCAGCCCCAAAATGGTTCGCCAATCTCTCTACATCTGTCCAATAAACTTTGTTTTCCTAACTGATGTAAAGAACACAATATTAATTGTTAGAAATAAACTCCCTTCAGCTGTGAAGAGTGACTGGTTAATTACGTCTACTGGCGTATTAATACAAGCATGCAATAATATAAATGTAGTCCAAAATAAAGCACGTGAGATGCACTACAGAGTTCGTACCATCAACATCGTTTTTGTTCTTTTTTTTTACCCATCGTAACTCGAAGCCATGAGTCTGCTATTTATGGGCCCAGCCTGATAATCCATTTCGGGATTTCTCATACATCGTTCGCAACATAAATCTGGTAGCAGAGCGTGGTTTTACTGTGTGGAAAATATGAAATCTGAATGATAATATGGTACAACTGAACTCCATGGTTGCTGTTTACATCGAGCTCCACGTGCATGACCACCAAATCGCCAGTATGTCATCCAAGGACAGTCATCTTCATTAATTATTTAATTTTTTTATCAAGTAGTCAACAATCAATAGAATGTCTGAACGTGATGGATCAGGTATCATCGATGCAGAAATACACGATCGTGACCAACAGGAAACTCCAGCTGATCGTAAGTCAGAATTATTATAACAAAAACGTTTGCTGAAAACTTTTTTCACTAAAGCTAAGTCTTATTTAACTAGTTTACTATGTTCAGAAACCGCGAACTTAGAACAATTGAAAAGTGGTGTTGACCAGGTCTTGAAAACACAAGAAGATGTTATCAATGTTTTGTTGTCGCTATGCGAGCTTGATCCAGATAGGTACGGTGATGAACTGGATGCGATACAAGATGATCCAAGATTTACAGAAACTGTATCTAGTACATTAGCTCTGATCAAGTCAAAATCGAGTGAGACAGACACAACGCGTCAATCATCGTCGAATAATCCGTCGCCTAGAGAAAATGTAGAATTCCCTCAGAATAGTTCTGTGACTGAAAACGAGCAGCCCACCCCAGATAATATTCAACAGAGTCAAAATAATTCTATAACTGCTCGATCCCGTGAGCCGTATTCGATAGATAGCAGCGATATGCATAATCAGTTGAAACGCGTTTCTATTCCAAGATTTGGTGGCAATAAAAGAGACTATCCACTTTTTAAGGACGCGTTTGAACATTGCATCGATAGGGTTGCGTGTAGTGATGGTTACAAAATGCTTCAGCTTAGACAGTACCTACAGGGTGATGCTTTATGGGCTATTGAAGGTTTTTCAGCGTCGTCTTTGGGTTACGCGTCCGCTAAGAAAAGACTCGAAGAAAAATACGGTGGTCATCGTCGTACTGTTCTGCTACATTTAGACTATATTCGACAAATGAGACCTATTAACTCTTCCGATTTACAAATGCTTGAAGAATTTACTGATAAGTTCGAACTTTCGATCGTTGCACTGAAAGATGCTGGTCGCGTCGAGGAATTCGAAGAAAACTCAATGTTTTATTCTGTTGCGAAGTCAAAATTGTCGCCAATGAACATCGCAAACTTTAAGCGTTGTGTCTCTATAGAAAAGAAAACTGAAAGTCTTGTTAATCTTCACGCATGGTTGGCTTTAGAGGTTAAGTTTAGGATTGAAGCCCTTGAAGAGGTAGACGGTTTCTACGCCCCTAAGACCAGTCTCAATCAAGGTGGTACCGGTAACGCTTACAAAAAGAATCGCGCATATACAACTAACAGCCGGCCGAAATGCGACTTGTGTACTAACAATCACCGACTCTTCGATTGTCCAGACTTTCGATCGCTTTCTGTTGACCGGAGATGGCAAGTTGCAAAGGATAAGTCTTTATGTTTTCGATGTCTAAGTCCAAGTCACGAAGGGCGCGATTGCAAGAACTCTCGTCGCTGTGGAATAGACAATTGTCCCCGGTCTCATCATACTCTTTTGCACAGAGGGGGATATCCAGTTGTGCCACCGTTTCTCAATTCGGGAGCCGATCGTCGATGGCCACGAACAAATATGGCCACCTCTGGAGGAGATCACGTGGGAATGCGCATAATCCCGGTTATTAACACCGGACATCGTACGCTCCAGCTGAACGCCTTGTTTTTGTTGCATCGGAATTGGGACTTAAAGGGCCAGTTTCCTATATGAATGTTTCTGTGTTGGGTGGTAAACGCGATTGTTTAAAAAGTTCTAAAGTTAGCTTCACTATCACTAGTCTTGATGGACAGACTAGTCTCAAACTTGACGCTTTTACGGTTGCAAACGTTACCGATGACTTGCAAATGATAGACTGGAATAAATATGTACATAATTGGCCCCACTTGCATGATATTGACTTTCCTCGTGTTGGTGGTAGAGTCCACGTCGATTTATTATTAGGACTTAATGTATCTGATGTACATCGCGCGCTCACCGAAATTAGTGGTAGACCTGGAGAGCCCATCGCAAGACTTACGCCGTTGGGATGGACATGTATAGGTCCCTTGTTTGAACTGGCCTCGTGTAGACAATCATCGAATCACTTTGTTCGAACATTCTTTGTACAAGATGATACAAACACTTTATTGCGCAATATGTGGGAACTTGATACATCGGGAATTAGTAACGATTCCGCTGTTATTTCGTCGATCGACAAGCAAGTTGTAGAACAATCTATATCATCTTTAAAATTTACAGGTGATCGTTACGAAATTGCAATACCTTGTAAACCGAATGAACCAGTTATCTTGAATAATTACGATCTAGCGCTCTCTCGTTTGCGGAATTTAGAGCGATCTTTGGCAAACCGACCCCTTGTTTCATCACAATATAGTCGGATCCTTCGCGACTATGAACAGAAGGGTTACATTAAAGAGGTATTCCCCTCGGATTATTACGAGAAAAATGTTTCGTATATTCCCCACTTCCCTGTCGTACGCCTTGATAAGACAACTACGCAAGTACGGATTGTTTTGGACGCCGCAGCAAAGATTAACGGCAAATCTTTAAATGATTGCATACATGCTGGCCCAAAACTTCAAAGGGAATTAATAGACATCCTTGTCAGATTTAGGAGTAAATCGATCGCGATTGCAGCTGATATCGGTGAAATGTTCTTGCAGATAGAGATGAAACCTATCGATAAACCTTATCATAGATTTCTTTGGAGAGACACGAATCCCCATCAGTCAGTTCGAATTTATGAATATCAAAGACTCATTTTCGGGAATGCATCGTCGCCTTATTTGTCACAACTTGTATTAAGAGAACATGCTATGTCGCATACTTCGAAATATCCAAATGGTGCTTCGTCTATTCTGGAGTCTATGTATGTAGACGATTTACTGGATAGTGCGGATTCAGTTAAAGAAGCAACCCGTCTCAGGCGTGAAGTATCGGAATTACTCGCTTTGGGAGGTTTTCACATTCGCAAATGGATATCGAATTCGGTTGATGTATTGTCCGAAATTCCAAGCAATGATCGAATCGGTAGTTTGGAAATCGCTGATCCTTCTGGTCTTCCTACTCTCAAGACCCTGGGTGTTTTATGGGACGCAGTGACAGACTGTTTTATCTTTAAAATAGATCCAATTCTCATTGACGTTTTGACAAAACGGATTGTCGTTAGTAAAACTGCAAAACTGTTCGACCCTCTTAATTTGCTAGCACCTTTTACGGTTCGTGCTAAAATAGGAATTCAAGAAACGTGGGTAAAAGGACTTAGCTGGGATGAACCCCTGCCGTTAGATCTATCAAGCCAATGGAATAACTGGTCGAGTGAACTAGCGCTTCTCGAAGGAATCAGTATTGCTAGATGTCTAGTCAGTAATAAAGAGATTATCCGCAAGACCATCCACACGTTCGTTGACGCGTCCTCCTCTGCTTATGCCGCAGCTGTTTATCTTCATTGTGAATACGCCGATCAGTCCTGTTCTTCGAACTTGGTGGCTTCTAAAACTCGCGTCGCCCCCCTAAAATCAATCACTATTCCCAAACTAGAACTATCGGGAGCAGTATTAGGTTTAAGACTCGCACAAACTATCTGCCGGGTGCTTAATGTTTCCAGTTCGGCAGTTATTTACTGGACTGATAGCCAAAATGTTCTGTTTTGGATAAAGGGAGAATCGAGGAAATACAAGCCGTTTGTGTCAAACCGTGTTGGCGAAATTCATTCGATGTCTGAACCCTCTCAGTGGCATTATGTTGACACTAAATCGAATGCTAGCGACCCAGCCACACGGGGATTATCGGCTTCCGCTTTATCGAAGTGTGACTTGTGGTGGCATGGACCTTTATTTCTTAGTCAGTCGGAGAATTGGCCCCTCGCTAATGATACAAGCTCTAATCCGTCTGAAGATGCTTTATTGGAGCTTCGTTCAGCTCAGAAGTCATTCCTTGTCGCGGCTCCACCGCGCGATCTTGGTAGATTAGAGCCTTCTAGATATTCAAGCTGGATTAAATTGTTGCGAATAACTAGTTGGATTTTTCGCTTCATTAAGAACATTCGTGTTTCGCATCAAGATAGATGTTTTCAAGAATATTTGACAAACGAGTTATCAGCCTCAAAGACTTATTGGCATAAAGTCGCGCAAAATGATTGTTTCCCAAGTGAACTACATTTTATTCGTTCAAATAAACAGGTTGACAGTCGTTCTCCTTTAGCGTAGTTAAATCCTTGTCTCGATGAAGATGGTGTATTCCGTTTGGACGGTCGTTTGAGACAAGCCGATCACATTTCGTATGAATCGAGATTTCCTGTAATACTACCACGAAACCACGATGTGACGCGATTAATTGCAACGCACATTCATGTTGAAGGAAACCAAGATTTAGGAACTTCTCATTGTATCAGTAAAATTCGAGAAGAGTATTGGATTTTGCACGTTAGACAAGTGATCAAATCCGTAGAGCATCATTGTCCTGAGTGTCGAAGGAGAAAATGTAAGCCGGCTAAGCAATTAATGGCACCGCTTCCTTTGTGTCGAATAGGTACCCCCTCACATGCATTTTCGGAAGTTGGTGTTGATTTCGCAGGCCCTTTTGTAACAAAACAGGGACGGGGTAAAGTTAGGACGAAACGGTACTTATGTTTGTTTACATGCTTGTCGTCTAGGGCAGTTCATTTGGAAATGGCCTGGGGACTCGATAGTCATTCATTTTTGCTGGCTCTCATCGTTTCGTTAGCAGGAGAGGAAAACCGAATTTCGTTTTGAGCGACAATGGGACTAACTTTGTGGGAGCAAATCGAGAACTTAGGAATTTGTTTAAGTTGGACAATTCAAGGATTGGAAGTGACGTCGCTACTAAGGGCATCGAGTGGAGATTTAACCCCCCGGCGGCTCCCCATTTTGGAGGCGTGTTCGAGGCTCTTATAAAGTCGGCTAAAAGAGCTATTAAGGCCGTATTAGGCGATGCGGATGCAAATGATGAAGAATTGATGACCGTTTTTATTCATGCAGAGGGATTACTAAATTCTCGGCCCCTCTGTTATCAAGGTGATGACCCGAAGGACGAATCGGTTCTCACGCCAAATCATTTTCTTTTTGGCCGAACAGGTGACCAATTAGTGTCGTCCAAATTAATCGATGGCGTTCGTTTTAATCCACGTAATCGTTGGCGCATGGGGTGACTTAGTACTAGTTGTAGACCCACTTTCCCCAAGGGGAAAATGGCCCTTAGGTCGTATAGTAAAGTCGTATCCTGGAATTGACAATCGTGTTAGAGTAGTTGACGTCAAAGTCGGCGATAATATACTTAAAAGGCCGATACATCGTCTGTGTCCGTTGGAAGCTTAGATACCTAAGTATAGTGTGAAGAAGTGGCTATCGATAATGTGCTTAGTTATACATCGTTCGAAATCCGTTGTTCGTGTCTATCGTTATATGGTGTGCTTATTATCCATGTGGAAATGCAGCTTTTTCAAAGTGTTTCATCGTTGGAGTCATCGTAAAGTTCATCGAAAGTGTTTCATCGTTGAATTCATCGCAAAGTGTACATCGAAATAGTGATGTGTATATTATATAGTTCGCTATTTAAAGTAGTGTTAGTTGTATCGTCTATCGTCGTTCGGGAGTGTTCAATTATATCGTATTTCGTGAATCTGTAATGTGCTTCGGAATCTGTGTTTTAGGATGTGCCATTGTATGTTACATCCTGGAGGGGGATGTGTTAGAAATATACTCCCTTCAGCTGTGAAGAGTGACTGGTTAATTACGTCTACTGGCGTATTAATACAAGCATGCAATAATATAAATGTAGTCCAAAATAAAGCACGTGAGATGCACTACAGAGTTCGTACCATCAACATCGTTTTTGTTCTTTTTTTTCACCCATCGTAACTCGAAGCCAGGAGTCTGCTATTTATGGGCCCAGCCTGAGAATCCATTTCGGGATTTCTCATACATCGTTCGCAACATTAATTACAAACCGATCAAATGACAAATATAATTTGTAGAGTGTTCTTAAGAAATTGTGGGCGACGAGTGGACGGATCGACGGCAACATACGACGATATTTCAATGTGGGCGCTTACAAAGTAATCAGTTGTTCTAAATGTACTGCAGTTACTGAAAATATTTCCTCGAAATAGATTGAGTGACTCGGTGGTGATAATTGTCTCAAGTTTTTTGGCGGGGGGTGGGGGTGGTGTCTTGTGTAATATTAATTCTACATGAAGAGTTGTTGTAGAATGGGTCCTTTATTATCTACTTACTGGCGCTAAGTCGTTTCGGGACTAAGGTATGGTTAAATTTAATATGAATAATTCGCTTGCGCGTAGGGGTATTTAGCAAAAGGAGGAAACCCTACTCCTTGAAATCGAAACCATGCCACTTGACACAATGACAGACCCTGTGATTTTATGTGCATGCATTAAACCACTAGACCATTCCTACACCCCACCCCATATCGAATAAAAGTATGGCTTATTTGCATATAAAGAAAGTAGAGAATTCAATCTTCCTGAAATGAAATGAGGTTTAACGTCTTCCTGAAATGAAATGAGGTTTAACGTCCTACTGTTGAGCTCCGACTGGTCTAATGCAGTGTGCTAAGAGAAAAATTTTGCCTGAGCAACGGCACTCTATGGTCTACTCTCGTATCGAATTCCAACTGCCAAGGGAACTTTTATGTGTATGCCAATGTGTACATTGGACCTCGGGGGAAAACCACGCTGCAAAAATCTGGATAATCTTTCTTGGTCAACACCAAGGGGTAACTTGCGGCCTCCAGGCTAGCATGCCATCGCCTAACTCATTCAGCCAACATGGCAATCTGTTAATTACTGCGACAGTGAAATCATGTGACAAACAAGGATTATTAAAATAGATTTTTACGGCTTAGGTAGTTCCTTGAGATTAAAACTTTTGATACATATAGATACATAAATTTCAATTTAATATCACACAGTTTGTATATGGTAAGGTATCTTTAAAGGTTAATTACATGTCCTGTATTATTTTTTCAGTTTCAATATTGGATGCATACGCAAACCACCCAGAAAAAGATCATATAATAAAAGAAATTTAAAAAAGAGAAAAATGGAAGAAGAAATGGCTGAAAAAATGATAGGGCAGCTTGATCTTGGTGGATAACTATTCAATTCTAATAGAAAAGATTGTTGTTATGCTATTTTGGAATCTAAAATTTAGTTTAATATATATATAGAGAGAGAAATGGGGTTTAACGTCTACTAGACACAAACTAGGTCATTTCGGGACTGACATGTTTTTTTAATTTTTATTTCAATAATTCGCTTGCGCGTAGGGGTTTTTAGCAGTGGGAGGAAACCGGAGGACCCGGTGAAAACCCACGAGGTTGGACAGGCGACCCTAATCCTTGTCACGTACAACCGGGGAATCGAAATCCCGACAGTGGACTGAATGACAGACCGTATGATACAGCGCGTGCGTGATAACCATTCGGCCATCCAACCCCCCTAGTTTAGTATAGTAAAAGTGCACACATACATGTATGAGAGAGAGAAATGGGGTTTAACGTCCACTCGACACAAACTAGGTTATTTCGGGACTAACATATGGTTTAAATTTTATTTCAATAATTCGCTTGCGCGTAGGGGTCTTTAGCAGTGGGAGGAAACGGGAGGACCCGGAGAAAACCCACGAGGTTGGACAGGCGACCCTTCTCCTTGTCACGTACAACCGGGGATTCGAAACCACGCCAGTCGACTCAATGACAGACTTTATGACACAGCGCGCGCACGCTAACCATTCAGCCATCTAACCCCCCTCATACATGTATGAGCACAGACAGAATCTTAGTTAGATATGACTGTCTCATCTGTGGCAAAGCAAACGAATACATGAAATCAAAGCCCAGCTTAGGCATGGGCAAGAGGGGTCCAGGCCTAGGGTCCTGCGGTTTAGGGGGCCCCGCGGTTCATGGCAAAAAGAGAAAAAAATTCAAATTCCAGAGGAAAGTTTCACGAAAATCGATCTAAAGGCGCGAGGGCGGAGACTGAGCTATCCCTCAACCTTCTCTGTGAAGTTCCACAGACTTGTATGCCATTCGGGTCAGAATAGCTTTCGTATATGATCATATATTATGTAATTATTCTTGTATTACAGACCGTTTAATTGTGTGTTACGCATGCGTGTCATTCAAAAGGATATGAAATAATCTTTTCGTCACGTTAGGGAGCCCGCAATTCTAGTCAGGCCCAGGGCCCCGCTCCGATTAAGCTGGGCTTTGCATGAAATAAAACAAATGTAATTAAATTAACATTTTTTAACTAAATCAAAACTGTCTAGTGAATTTAAGCTAAATAATACATAGCATATATCTGTTTTCAGTTACCTACCTCGGAAGATCAAAACTGTTGGAAACGTCTATTGATATTGTGGAAGCGTTTTCTCACAGAGCTCGCTAATCAGACAAAGGCTATGTAAGTACCATGCATAATTGTTTTTTGAATCAGGAACTGGTTCTATACACTTGGTAATCTAGTTCTTCTTTTGGGGGCAATGTCTAGGCACTGCCATTTCAAATACGATCAACATGAAACTCAGGAGGCTTGTTTGGTTGATTTTCTTAGAGTTTTGATATATTACGTCAAAACTATAAGATGGATGCAATGTATAATATACAATGTATAATATTTTATATTCAGACTAGAGAGCATTTGATGTATGATAACAACAGCAAGGGAACTCAACTATATACAAGGGAACTCAAATATATACCTTTTGAATATTAAGCCATCAAATTATTTCATAATTTTGAAAAAGAATGTAGTGATTGTAAATGCTAATAGGTTATCTCTTGCTTTTGGGCTGTTATTTAAATATTTTATTTTTGTTTTGAATGTTAAATATCCTTCCCAAACACAATTATATTTTAATTCTCTTCAAAAGTTTATGTAAAATATAGACTGTAAAGTGACCTATAAATCACTTAGAATTTGGTCGGAAACCATAAAGTATTAAACAGGCATTATCTCGAAACCAAATGCAGATCGAATATACAAAGAATTACAAAAACCCTTTAGGTACATTAAGGTGACTTTCCCTTGCTTATGAAATGAAATGGGATTTAACATCCTACTTTTCTATGTTATGGGGGTATTTCTGCCCTGGTAGTTAAGGTGACTTTCATTTGCTTATAAAATGAAATAGGATTTACCATCCTACCTTTCAGGGTTTATTTTTAATGATAAATAGGGTCACCTTTCCAACATCGTGGGTTTTCTCTGGGTCCCCCGGTTTCCTTCCAGTTTGTGTCGAGTGGACGTTAAACCCAATCTCTCTCTCCCTCTCTCTCTCTCCTTCCCAAACACAATTATATTGTAAATTTGTAATTCTCTCCAGACATTTGTGTAACGTATTATATAGGGCACTATCTAGAACCCAAATATAGATCCAATATACACAGAATTACCCCAAAAAAATCGGGTACATTAAGGTGGCTTTCCCTTGCTTATAAAATAAAGGGGCGGGGACGATTGGTTAGGACGTGCGGGCTGTATCATAAGGTCTGTCATTGAGTCAACTGGCCTGATTTCGATTCCCCGGCTGTACATGACAAGGGAGGTACGGTGCCTGTCCAACCTCGTGGGTTTTCTCTGGGTCGTCCGGTTTCCTCCCACTGGTAAAAAACCCTTGTGCACAATCGAATTATTGAAATAAAATTGAACATTATATTAGTCCCGAAATGACCTGGTTTTGTGTCGAGTGGACATTACCCCCCCCCCCCTCTCTCTCTCTCATTATAAACTGAAAAGGGGTTAAACCTCCTATTTTTCTATGTTATATGGGTAATAATGCCCACGACCAACACCGGGATCCAAAAAGGGCCTCCATGTAAGCGAGCCTACTCACTGAACCACCATGGCTCCCCTTGCTTATGACTTGTATATAAATATTTTGTACATTTGTACATGTCTCATATATTTCATTTGTATGTAGTTTTTCAGTTTTTGTGCATAATTAATGTTTTTAGTGCTTGTTTTGACTGTTTAGGGGGCATGGAGTAGGGATATTGTGTACATATCTTTTAAATTCTCATTTCGTTTTTAAGGGGGTAACTTTAAAAAAGAATTTAAAAAAAAAAATAATTAATTTTGTTTTTATTTTTGGTGGGGTGGGTGGATATGTTGTTGTTATATTATATTATAATAACACAATTTTATTAGTATTGGAATTACCTTTGTTAATTATTATTCCAAATGCCTCGTGCTTGTTTTGAGATTTGTTTTTTCAGGGGGTAACTTTAAAAAAGAATTTAAAAAAAAAAATAATTAATTTTGTTTTTATTTTTGGTGGGGTGGGTGGATATGTTGTTGTTATATTATATTATAATAACACAATTTTATTAGTATTGGAATTACCTTTGTTAATTATTATTCCAAATGCCTCGTGCTTGTTTTGAGATTTGTTTTTTCAATTCTTATAGCTATGTTTATTTTATGATTTGTTTGTTTATTCTTTTTTTTTTGGGGGGGGGGGATATTTTTTCATTATATATCACAATTTTATTAGTATTGGATTTACTTTGTTTTTATTACCCATCATAATGTCTGTTTATTTTTGATTTGGCATTAATTTAATTCTTCATATAACTTTCATTATATATCACAATTATATTAGTATTGGATTTACTTTGTTTTTATTACCCATCAAAATGTCTGTTTATTTTTGATTTGGTATTAATTTAATTGTTCATATAATTTTAAGAATAAATAATCATTTTATGAATAAATAATAATTTAAAAACAAATTATTGTCATGTTATTTATCAAACATTACAGTTAAAACAGAACAAATGGAGGGCCTGCATTGTAAAGGCTGCTATACTGGATATAAATTGGTTGGTTTAAACAATAATTTATTTCATTAGTGAGTCACAGATATATCTAACATACTATATATGGATACAATAACAAGCATTGCTGCTTATGTAAAATCGCTTCCATAAACAATGATCATTGAGAAGATAGACGACTGGATATGTTTGATTTACAAATTTTACTCGGCGCAGGAGGTGAAGGTAAAGATCCCTTGGAAAGAACATACAATACACATACAAGTAGATTATAATGGTAGATATTCAATAAGACGATGTCGATGGCAAGGCCCAAAATATATTCGCCAAGTTTTATGAGGTCACCTGCTTTCGGAGGGGGGGGGGGCGGAAATGATCTAGGCAGTTTTAAAGCGTTTAGTTAGTTTGATAAAGTTATGTACAATTTCAACGATGAAGGAATTGTCCTCCAAAGAAATAGCTGTGTTTCCAGAAAGTATTGTTTGCACATTTTTATGTTCTATATCTAATTTATTTATTGTTATTTTTCGCTGAGATTTGTATAGTGGACAGTGTAAGATATATGCATCAGACACTTGTGAAGGTTTAAGTCGCTCTTTGAATTTCGAAGTTTACAGTGTATTATCTGTAGATGCCTTTCGCCTATATAGTAGTGGACATTAGTTTTGAATACGTGCAAGCTCGATTTTAATTTAGTTTTGAATTCAGAAATAGTTTTGGAATTTTTTGTTGGAAGACTTAGACCATTCCACTGCTTAATAGAAGATGGAAAGAAAGAATTCTGGTACAGTAATGTTCTACAGTTTATTTGCTTAATTTGGTTTGAGTTTCGAAGACGGTAGGGATGGTCAGCCGATACAAGAGGTGGAACTATATCGGTTAGATATTTAGGAACTAGTCCATTTAAAATTGTGTAGAAAAGTATCATTTTATGTTGATAGCGTCTTAATTGAAGCTGGCAGATTCCAGTTTCCGTATAGAGTATATTATGAGAGGTACCACGATGAAGACCGCAATGCGTCGAGTTGAAGTTTTTCAAGTTGCGTAGATTTATCTTTAGAACAATTATTCCATACACAAACTGCATAATCGCAAATTGGAAGAATGAATGACTTATATATAGTTTCTAGCTTTTTTTCGTTTTAGACGGTATTTGAAACTTCGCAGATAATTTATCAGTTTGCTTATTTTGGACGTAAGGTAATCTACATGCACATCCCACTTACACGACTTACTGAAAAGAAGGCCCAAATGTTTATGACTTACTTCATCGTTTATATCTGAGTTGTTTAGCGATAATTTAAAGATTGAGGGCGATAATTTTCTTGAAAAAGTTAAACTTACAGTTTTTGATGGGTTAAAATCAACTTTCCATTTAATTGACCATTGAAATATTTTTTCAATATCTCTATTTAAAATGTCTTGTGCATCTTTAGGGTTATTTATTATTAAAAAAAGAGAAGTGTCGTCAGCAAACAAGCGTGTATTAGATTCAATGTCATTTACAATATCGTTTATGTAAATAAGAAATAGTAACGGACCTAAAATGGAACCCTGGGGTACCCCAGAAGCAATATTACGAAAAGAGGAACTCTGACCACCAATTAGCACCTTCTATTTTCGATTCAATAAATAATTATTGATTAATTTTAATGTATTATTTCTAATACCTACTGAGTTTAGTTTATGCAATAGGCCCTCGTGCCAAACACGATCAAACGCTTTACTTATATCAAAGAAGATTTATTTGACTTCATGTCCATTGTCAATGGCTCTACATATATAATCATACATCTCGATCAATTGGTAAACGAAAGAATTATTTGGTTAAATAGAACACAAGTTTTGTTGGTGGTTATACACAAGTTTGTATGAAACAACACAAGTTTCATAAATTTTAAAAGAAGTTTCAGAAATTCCAACACAAGTTTTTAGAAATTTATGTGTAGATTTTCACACAAGTTTGTGCTGTTTTATAAATTTTAACACAAGTTTTGTGTTGTTTTATAAATTTTAACACAAGTTTTGTGTTGTTTCAACATTTAACACAAGTTTGTGTTGTTTCAACACAAGTTTGTGTTGTTAAATAGAGACAACTAACTTGTGTTGAAGTTGGCGACACCAAACGACGTCATAATAATAGTTGCTAAGTAGAAGTATCAAAGTATTAATTTTAATGTATTATTTCTAATACCTACTGAGTTTAGTTTATGCAATAGGCCCTCGTGCCAAACACGATCAAACGCTTTACTTATATCAAAGAAGATTTATTTGACTTCATGTCCATTGTCAATGGCTCTACATATATAATCATACATCTCGATCAATTGGTAAACGGAAGAATTATTTGGTTAAATAGAACACAAGTTTTGTTGGTGGTTATACACAAGTTTGTATGAAACAACACAAGTTTCATAAATTTTAAAAGAAGTTTCAGAAATTTCAACACAAGTTTTAGAAATTCCAACACAAGTTTTAGAAATTCCAACACAAGTTTTAGAAATTTATGTGTAGATTTTCACACAAGTTTGTGCTGTTTTATAAATTTTAACACAAGTTTTGTGTTGTTTTATAAATTTTAACACAAGTTTTGTGTTGTTTCAACATTTAACACAAGTTTGTGTTGTTTCAACACAAGTTTGTGTTGTTAAATAGAGACAACTAACTTGTGTTGAAGTTGGCGACACCAAACGACGTCATAATAATAGTTGCTAAGTAGAAGTATCAAAATCCTAAAATTGTTTGACTTTCATGCTTAACATGTAAAGCGACAACAAAGTAGACATTTTTCGTCTTAATAATAGAAATAAGATGAAACAGAAATAAAATTTACACTGAACAAAAAAAGAAGTTGGAATATACATTGTCTTAATTTAGAAATTACATGAATAGAAGTTAGAAATTACATGAATAGAAGTTGGAATTTTGAGTCTAATATACTGCCATAGTTTAAAAACACCCCTTCGACCTCTAGCTGGCCGGTGTGAGCGTATGTGGCTTGGAGATATGGGCGCCTTTTCGACCTCGTGGGTTTAATCCGGTTTTCTGCCGCAGGAAAGACCCCTGCGCAAAAAATAAGATTTGTCTGCGATATTAAACACTAAGAACAACAACGACCGTCAACCAATAATTGAGTCTTGTCGGAGAGGCATATATTGACCTAACCAGGCCAGACTTGTATGTATGAATGGTCTCTAATACCACCAATAGATACTGTATCTCGAAAGGCAAGGCACGATTGCGCCTTGAATTAAAGAAACGGAGGCGGTAAAACGTATTTAATCGCACCACTATCTCCAACCTAGGTTAAACAAAATATCATTTACGACTGACTTTTGCAAGTTTTCTAGGAAACTGCTGCCTGGGAGAAGACGTTAAATGTCTGTGAAAGAACAAATGGTGCGTGAAAAGTCCATCAAGATAGAAGATGGTGATTCCGTCTACCCAGTACGATTCACTCCGTGTTTACAAACCGGACATTACGGGTTATAGTTCTGCCTGTTAATATTGTATAATACTCTGATTTTGCTGGCGTATCCCACTGTCCTATGTGCAGTTTCCGGGAAAACGACTTCCAAGAACTTAGAACAAAACCCAGCTACCTGGACATATGGCTGCCGTTGGACATTTGTGGGATGCCAAAAATTGGAGAAAATGAGAAACTCAATGAGTGACGCACTTGTATGCGAGAAAAACTAGGTGAATATGAAATCGCGGGGTCCCGAACAGTGAAAAGGGGCCCGTGATTCCCGGGAGAAAACCCTAGCTTAAATCCTGCTTTTATCAGGAAGAAAGCAATAATATATAACCCACCTCAATTGTTAGTAAATATATTATTGATATGCTATCATCAAGATCAAGTTAATATATTGATTAAAATATTAATATTCACCACGTTTTCGACACATGTGGTTAGATATTCACATAAACTTTCGTTATTTTCTGCAATGCGATTGAAACGTATGATATTCTGTGTTATATTTCTTGTTATATTCATTGTAATTGTTGGGACTTTTAAATTTGCATATACTTTTATACAGGTAAGATAAACGTTATTTAATAAGCTTGTGTCAGGCGGAACGTTTTTAAAACGTTTTTATAGTACCTTTTAAAGTTATCTTTGTATTGCTATAATATCGATTATCGATAGGCTAACTGTCCCCCTTAAATATATTATCAATGTTTCGTGAAAGTTGATTCTATTACCTGGCATAGTTATCTACCTCTTGATAATGGAAGCCTATTACGGTCGTTTAATAAGCTCGACTTCTCTCATTTGAAAACATTTGCCTTCTCGCGCAAGAATACGCTGACTACCACCAGCAGCAAAATTTACCCAAATCCATACAAATCTATCCAAACCCACAAAAAACTACTAATATTCCAACTCAAATCCCATTAATTATCATCATGTGCCGTTCCTATAAAGGTAGATGGCTAGGGTAAACCTCGACGAAGAGATTGGCATTAATGATCAAATCCGATATCACTTTGTCTGGTATGCTAAGAAACAGCGTTTGTAAAAAATTAAGACGGGTAGACCTCAGTTGTTTGCCCCAAGCGGCTGGTCCTTTTCAGCTTCCCCGCGCCACTGACAAGGGTAGACCAATCTGGAAAATCCAAAGGCATTTACTCGGCCAACAGACGGGAATAAACAGGGTATCCCCTGGTTGCTGGGCCAGCGTCATAAGTGTTGATCCACCTTGGATTAAACTAGAATAGGTAGAGTTATAACACTTTTTCTCATTGTATATTAGAAACATTTAATTTAAGCTAATATTAATAAGTGCAGTGTAACCGCACTATACGCAATGCAAAACCGACAAGATAAAGCTGCGGACAAGTCACACTTATACAAGTGAATGGATCTGCGGGTCAGCCTGTTGCTTATTCGCATTAATATTGTTTTATGTTTTAGCTGCTAAATCATGTGGATATCCATAAAATAAAAGTAAGGCCGGTACTGGGAAGATCTTTCAATACTCGCACAGATGATAAGAAAGCTGTGTTACGAGAGCTTACAACAGATGATTATTTAAACCATACTTACATTGAACTTAAACCGATTCGCATTGAGCGACTACGCGTCTTTGTATATTCAGCCGTTTTACAAAACTCTAAATCAACCGAAGATAATATTTTAGACGTCAGAATTCAAGCCATAAAGCATCAATACGACGACCCTGTATTTCAATGTTGCCTACGAGCTGGGAATGGAAATCTCATAGCATCTACAGCGGCCCAATTATTTCGTCTTTTTCAACAAGGGCAATTCCAGAGTGCAGTTTACAGCTGTCGCAGTAACGTAACAGATCTAAACATTGAGTTTGTTAGTTTCAAAATAAATTGTGCAGCATCTGACAATGAAGAGCGACTTCAAGTTCTGCCTTCTGAGGTTCCTAAGGGGGATATTGCAATATGTGTTCACGCTGTTTATGGATATGTTGACCCTGAATTAATAGCTGAGTGGATGGAAATAATGTGGCTACAAGGTGTTCGGCGTATTTTCGTGTATCCTCTAAAAACAATTGATCATGTAGATGAGAGAACGATGAAAGTTTTTAAATTTTACGAAGCCCGTGGTTTGGTACGACTTATTCCGTATGAACTTGCTGTATTGGGAAAAGGTTTGGACTCGTCTATTGATCAATATTTGTTTATGATGTTAATATTCCCCTTTAATTTAAGTCTTCCCAACTAAAATCGCCCTGTGAATTCCTCTCGTGGGCTTAAAAATCGTATTTACATCAAAGCATATCAAAATTGTAAAAGTTAATATGTGTGTTTTGACGAAACAGTAGATTTTACGAAGCACGTGGTATGGTATGACTTATTCCGTATGAGCTTGCTGTATAGGGAAAAGTTTTGGCAAAATCAATTTTTTGGGGGGACTCGTATATTGATCAATATTTGTTTATGATGTTAATATTCCCTGTTAATTAAATTCTTCCCAACTAAAATCGATCTGTGAATTCTTCTCGTGGACTTAAAAATTGTATTTACATCAAAGCATATCAAAATTGTAAAAGCTAATATATGTGGTTTTTATTTTCATTTTAGATCTCGGATTCCGACGATTTAAGGCCAACCATCGTACTTACCAGATGTTTTCAGATGAGTTTGTTCCAATATATGATTGTCAATCCAGGGCCTCAAATTACAAATATACAATGGTAATGGACTTTGATGAAATAATTGTTAACCCTGAACAACCTTTGCAACTACTTCCCACGTTAAATGTAAGTTTTAATATGCGCCATATTTAATTTTATCCTCAAAGAGACAGGGTCGGATTAAACATGGGTGGGCAACAGTGGGCCATATCCTGGTCATTCTCCACCCTCACAAATGCAATTAGTATGGCAGATAGATTTATATGACACTAGCATACAACATAATAAATATTGGGACCACTGGCTGCCCCCTCCCTCCCATAAAACCCCAAGTTATTTCCATTCGCTTTTCTTCACAAGGTATTGCATATTTTACACTTTACCATTATCAAACCCATCACATCTATACATTTTTATTCGTATGTCATGGTATTGAATGCGTCAACCCAATTCTTTTCATTTGTATCACTGGACTAGTGACTCAGCTTGCCTTTGGGTTATGTTTTAATTCTTATGTCTCACGATATAAGTAGTCAACGAAGATAGTTCATGTTAACGTTCTAGAACACCTTTCCTGAATCATACTGAAGGAGTTCATATAGCCAACATATTTTGTTGTACTTTGTATTAAGAGTGACCCATCAAAACGTTATCCTTAGGTAACTGTATGTGCCCATGGTGAGTTTTTGGTTATCTTTGGGTCATAGTAGAAAACAAATTTCCCACGCTCTTCTGAATTGGTTCCCTTACAACAGCCCTGGATTCACGCATGGGACAAGACATATTCTAACAACACCCAACACGGCCCACGTTTAAGAATTAAAAATATATTTTTCAGCATCTTCTTCGACAGAATCCATTTGCTGCATACTTTACGTTTCATGTGGAAAATTTCGTTAAGAACTGGGGAGAAACAAATCCTGGTTCTGATTTAGTCCTAATGAAGTACATTAACAGAAGCCGTGCAATGTATGATAGACCAAAGGCGGTCTATGTAAAAGGTCGTACAGCAGATTTTACTATGCACAATTCACTACCAGCTAAAGGTTTCAAAAGGTAATATACACTCCGTTATTGTTTGGCATCTTATTTTGTGCGAATATGGCCCCACGAACACGAGTCTTCTATTCCACCCGTAAAGCTTATATTTCTACTGATCGACCAGCAACAATAAATATTCAGACTCATATTGTTTAAAAGACAGTTTAAGACAATGTCTTTGCATATGTCTTCAAACTCTTATATTCATTGGCCAACAATTTTGTCTTGACAGCTGTTAGGCTGGCGAACCTGCGTGGGTACAAATCAAATAACATGTTGTACATTATCTCTATGTGTTCATCGTTGATGGCTAAAGTTGTTTCATTATTTGTGTTATAAACTATGCAAGAGCTAAATAAAAGTAATGCCAACTATTAGTGTTGTGGTATTAACCTCTGTCCACAGAAGAGAGAGAGATAGATGGGGTTTAACGTCCACTCGACACAAATTATGTCATTTCGGGACTAACACATGGTTTTTAATTTTATTTCAATAATTCGCTTGCGCATAGGGGTCTTTAGCAGTGGGAGGACCCGGAGAAAACCCTCGAGGTTGGACAGGTGACCCTATTCCTTGTCAAGTACAACCATCCAACCCCCCCCCCCCCCCCCCCCCCCGTCCACAGAAGATGAATTATCGGTAAGGTAAGAGAATACAGTGGTTACTCACGCACAAATCGGGTAATCTAAATAAAAATCGTAAAGTTTTGTATCTGCATTTGTTTCAGAATCATGGTTCCAGTATCTACCGCAACAATTCATCACTATACGTCATGTCGATATCGATGGTCAAGAGAGTTTTGTTTAGTTCAACTAAGCCGCTTTGAAGACAAATCTTTACTACAGATAGAAAGCTTGCTGACTGAGAGGATGAAAAACGTACCGGAAGATATTCGTAACCCAGAAGTTTAAATTTGCAATAAAGGGGTGTACGTGGAATTGTTTGTTATGGATTTGGTAGACTACTAAATAATCCTAATGAACAGAACTCCAGTCCCTAGAAAATCGCCACTGCTTTATTTTCCTCAGGGACATTTGTTATGTGGGTGGTGTGGGGAGGGGTGGGGCACATTTCTCTTGGAGCACAGGGGTGTTTAATTTCTCATAGCAGTTTTGGGTATTTATTCGTTATCTGGCAAAGCCACGTTGAAATGAATATTATGTTAATCGTGCTTAAAGATACTAGAAAAGATAAAATGGAATGTCTCATTTATAATAGAATTACAAATTCGGAAAACGAACTTTTTGGTGAACAAATAAAGTGTGTTTAAAAGTACTTGAAGGATTAACAATACCAGCATACATCTATAACATGACTTGATCATAAATATAATGTATTCCATAGTATTGGCTTGTTCACAGCTTATTGTCATTTTTTTATAATGTTTCATTGGTATAGACGTTTTCAATAAAATAAATGAGTTATCTTTCCTTACTGATTAGTTATATAAACCAAACGTCGATTGAATAGGTAACTTAGAAGATTATATAGATGTAACAGTCTAGATTCGAGTTAAAGTAAATATGTTAAATAATGTATAGCGCTCCATATCCAAGGGGGCATTTTGTAAATAGATTCACAATTTCCAAGGACAGTTATGGCAAGTGACGTGCCCATAGGCTTCCTGAAAATGAAATGAGGGTGAAAAATTGGTATATTACAACTTACACTTTAAGCTACACATTGTTGAAACTAAATGTATAATAAATAAGGTATTGAAAACAATTGCATTGACTGGAGATGTCGCCCTCTAAAGACACAGGACACCATTGATTCCTAGTGCCAAAGATATTTATACCACCCCCACCCCCTTTTTTTTATTGCTCGGCGATTTGTGTTGACTTTTGTGGGTAGTATCGAAGAAAGGGGGTTGAATATACATTTTCTAATGGGATTTAGCGAATATTGATGATTCTGTGTCAGAAAGATAAGAGAGTTAACCTCATACGCTTTTGAGCCAGAAATTCGACATGTCACCTTCATATCTGCCTCCTTTCAGAGCACAGTGTCATGGGTTTTTTTTGTACATAGTGTGGCAGAAATTTATGAAAAGATCCGTGATAATCACATAAGTATTTCAGTTATAAAAACATCAAACGCATTTAAACACAATCTGCTAAATTTAAAATACGGTGCATATCATAAAACAATAAACATTTACTCATTTGTTTGCTTCTACAACCATACGCAATCTGATTAAAACACAGATCCTATTTTGTTTCGTTTTTATAGTACAAAATTTAGTTTAATTATACTTACTACACTAGTTGTTATTTTTTTTGTTAACTATATTTTATTCAATAAGAATAGGATTGCGGAACAGGCTATGCCTATATCACCGCTCTCCCTTTAACAAAACAATATAATTACAATTAGTTTACTTAAATACATGCATATAGTCGAAACTATTCATATTGTGTTATTGATTATTAAAATTCTGAAAGTATACAATAATATATTTTTTTAAATAAAAAGGTTATTTGATATACATAATGACTAAATGTGGTTTAAGGCCTGAAAGTGTACAAATATGTAAACAGAATCTAGTGATGGTAATAATAAATGACGATTACAGTACTTAAAATCTATTACTTAATTCTAAAAAGTGTTGCACCTCAGTAAATATTGGTTCAACTGAAATATCCGTAGAGCCATACAATAGAAATTTTGTGTTGGTGTATTCTTTGGTAATGTTTTTATGATAAGTGATAAGGATCTTCAAAATTGTGTCCACATCGGCAGGTTGGAGAGTCGGTTATGTGTCTTAAAAATGCATGTCCATTTAGATCATTGTTTGATAAACGAAGTCTTGAATGGATGATTTGGACTTTTCTTTTTCCAATATTGTAATAAGAAGGTAACAAGTGATCATGTTTTGAGAGTTTTTGTTTAAAAATGAATAACGTATCTGAATTACGTATAGAGTATGGAAGACCAAATGGGACAATATTCATGATTCTTGTTTCTACATTCCAGTTTGAACATTTTAGACATGAACGCAACATTCTAAACTAATGATTCTTGTTTCTACATTCTTATGTCAACATTTTATGCACAAAATCAACATTTTAAACAAAAAATTGACTTTATGTTTCATTTTCGGCGTTTTATCGGTAACTTTTATATATCATTAAATATTAAAATTAAAAAATAATTTCTTAATTTTACACGACAAAGAAATCAACTCATTGGTTTCTGAAAGTATCAAAAAAAAATTCTGGAATTTGAACTCTTATGAAAATATTTTCTACGTTTCAAAAAGTCTTGAAGTTAAAATCTTGAAATGAAAATGTCCAGAAAAATATCATGAATTTATCAACATTATTACACCAGAGGGCGTTAGCGTATGTGTACAACTTTGATACAGACTATAGATTAGAAATCAAAAGTAGACTTTTCCACGAGTGGAAGTGTGCCCCTGTTGTGTTTACAGTACACGTAATTAGTTGCATGAAACAGAAATTAAGCTCGAGATATAATAACAATACAAATAACTTTTATAATTTAAACAGCTTGAAAAATTAGGACAAAGGCCTTTCTTACATATTCGCTGTTATTTGTTTACTTTTTCATATGTTTACAAATTACTTAATTAGACCTACACGTGTTTCGAATATGGCAAAAATGGATGATAATGCTGTGTTTTAATTGGAATCTATTCACTGTTATTTGTTTACTTTTTCATATTAACTATAACTATAGGATAGTGTTTGCAAATTAGACCTACGCGTGTTTCGAGTGGAAAAATCTACTTTTGATTTCTAATCTATAGTCTGTATCAAAGTTTTACACATACGCTAACGCCCTCTGGTGTAATAATGTTAATAATTCATTATATTTTTCTGGACATTTTCATTTCAAGATTTTAACTTCAAGACTTTTTGAAACGTAGAAAATATTTTCATAAGAGTTCAAATTCCAGATTTTTTTTTAGATACTTTCAGAAACCAAAAAATTGATTTCTTTGTCGTGTAAAAAATTAGGAAATTTTTTAATTTTAATATTTAATATTTAACGCCGAAAATGAAACATAAAGTCAATTTTTTGTTTAAAATGTTGATTTTGTGCATGAAATGTTGACATAAGAATGTAGAAACAAGAATCATTAGTTTAGAATGTTGCGTTGGTGTCTAAAATGTTCAAACTGGAATGTAGAAACAAGAATCATGAATATTGTCCCATTTGGTCTTCTATAATAGAGAGATCTAGATTGTTCAAAGTCGTGTAGTTGAAGGAAAGAAAGAATTATAAAATAGATTTGTTTTACAAAAAATAGTATGGTAGGTTTTGTCATTTCTTAATGAGTAGTTACTTTGTTTTTTGTTTAGATTATCATACAGGTAATCAGGGGTTAGGTGGTTTATAAATTTAAATATAAATATCAACCTGCGTTCTGGTTAATGTGATGGATTAGCCAATGAAACGGTCTGTTGTAGCAAGTTCTTGGCGTGCGATGCACGGAACTGTGTGTATCCTACTAGAAATATCAACGCTGATTGGTTAATCAAATGTCTTACGTAATAGGGTCAAAAGCCGCTCGTATGACCCCTGACGCCCACCTCCCCCCACTACAGCTGGACAGATCTTCATGTAGTATAGGCCATTGAAAGTAGAAAAAAACGAAATAAAATATGGATCTGTATTTTAATTAGATTGCAACCATACATCAAATGAAAATAAATGATACAAGATCGTTTAAATTTATTCAGATATATATGCCAGAAAAATACAAAATATTTCCTGTTGCTTGCTATTTGCCAAACCTTAACTCGTCGGGTACCGTCTTCAGTCGTTCAAGTAAAAGTGTTTCGATGGCCATCATGGCCCGATCTTGGTGCCGGTTTGTTTCAGATAGGCATGATGACTGACGCCATGCAGGTCTACACGCTGTGTAGTGATGAACCGCTGCTTTCTTTGAAGGGAGGAACACTCTGAAAATTAACCAACGATTAGTAGAATCTTATTAATCTATAACACTAGAAAGGGTTCAAGGAGAGAGGGAAGGAGGGTGAAATGGGGTTTAACGTCCACTCGATAAAAACTAAGTCATTTCAGGACTAACTCATGGTTCAATTTTATTTCAATAATTCGCTAGCGCGTAGGGGTCTTAAGCAGCGGGAGGAAACCGGAGAAAACCCTCGATGTTGGACAGGCGATACTAAACTTGTCACGTACAAGCACTTCACTCAATGACAGAAATGAAATAAAATGAAATAAAATGAAATGAAATGGGGTTTAACGTCCTACTGTTCTGCTCCTAAACTGGGCTAATGAAGACGGGCATACGCCATACAGTGTGCTATGAGGGAAATTTTGCCCGGGCAGCGGCACTATCGCCTACTCTTATATCGAATTCCAACTGCCAGGGGATCTTTTACGTGCATTCCAATATATACACGAGACCTCGGTTTTTCGTCTCATCCGAAGGACTAGACAGCTGTCCTTGTCAGGCCCTCCGTCCTGCATCACTGACAAAGGGGAACCACGCTGGAAAATCTCGATTAACTTTCTCGGCCAATGCAGGGATCGAACACCCGACCTCCAGGCTAGCGAGCCAGCGTCTTACCCACTTAGCCACGTGATCCCCACTCAATGACAGACCTTATGATCAAACACACACGCATTAACCATTCGGCCACCCAACTACTCGAAAGGGACAATGAAAATGGGTACTCAATGACAGACCTTATGATAAAACACACACGCATTAACCATTCGACCACCCAACTACCCGAAAGGGACAATGAAAATGGGTATTCAACGAAGAACAGGTGGAAAAAAACTTTTTATTCACATCACTAGTAAAACGCGACAAGTTAACACATTGAAGAATATGCAAGACACAGTGCCCAAATGTTACACATACAGGTAAAGCGTAGAGGTGTGCAAATTTGAAATAATTAATCTCTAAATAATACTGCAGCCTTACAATAACAATTTCAAGATATATTCAATCAAACCACTTTCTATTTCACAATTTGCACAGTGTCATGTGCAAAATGAAATAAAATGGGCTAGAATGTCCTACTGTTCTCATGCGACTGGGCTAATGAAGACAGTGTGCTATGGGGGAAATTTTGCCCGGACAGCGGCACCACGCCCTACTCTTATATCGAATTCCAAGGGTTCTTTTACGTGCACGCCAATGTGAACACGGGATCGAACCCCGGACCCTTTAGTGATTCAGCTCCTTAATCACTGAGCCCAGGTTAACAATTTAATTTGTATAAACATTTGTACTTACACCCCAAATCCTCTTAGAGCTTCTGTTGTGTGCATATTAACAGTTTTATATCTTCCCTGGACGTAGACTATCTTAGATTGATCTTGTAGCGCCAGTGTTCTCTTTACATACTGCATAAAGTGAAGGTTCGTTTCATTACTTTTAGTCCAATTTAATATAAAATTTTCTATCCTGAAAACAAAGGCAGCTGCGTGCTCATCATGTTGATACTCATGCTGTAAATATAGGAAATGTTACCACATAAAGCACAAAATTCTTCGTTCAACTTTTTCCAAATTCAGAAAAAAACATCAAATTTCTCACAGCTTACCCCATGTTAAAATGTACCAACGCTAAGCAATCTGCCGGCTTGGATTCAATTCGATCTAAAACGGGCTCATCAATCAATGTTCGCGGACAACAAAATGGCGGCGGGCTTATAACATGACAAGAACATAGTGAATGGAATTTCAATTCAAAATATCTTTGGACTGATATTCCTATTTCACAATAATTATAATTTGCAAGGGATTTTTTTTACGCTAAAATGACGGAATAAACTTTAAATATGTGTTAATATTTTTAAATATATATTTACTTTGAGAGTTATGTTACACAATGGAATAGATAGTGAAATAGATTAAAATGAAAATGAAAGGCGAGTAAAGCATTTCTTGCCTCCTTAGGTGCGGGAGGTGGGGGGGGGGGGGCAGAAACCAATACGATCCATAATAAGAACAATTTAGGCGCCGTTCAAAATTTTAATTTAAGAATCAAAACATTAACTCACATTCAGCATTGGTATTAAATCCAGTGGTCCCTTTTTGGGAACTATAATTTCATCAAAGTCCAGTACAGCTGTGAATGTGTAATCTGATGACCTCATCATACAGTCATAAATGGGTAAAATTTCATCGGAATACATCTGACCATCTCTAGATTTAAACCTCTCATACATCATTTCTAATTATGAAAATTATAATATTTTAAATTAATGAATTTCTCTAATAAAAGATAAAGCAGTATTAAAAGTATAATATAATAAAAGTTTCCATTGGCGTCAACTCTAACAATTTATTTTTTCATCGATCGGCATTTATTTTATTTTAATCGTTCGCTAATTAATAAATTAATGAAATGGCTAATGAATTAAAGCCTGATCTACTGAAACGATGGTTACGTTTTTGAATTCTAAAAATCATCAAGTATTAGTAAAAGGGACATAAATTGCGTAATTTGGTGGACGAATGTTTTGGAACAAGTGAATTAAAATTCACAGGCTCAAAGGACTGTTTCGGTCGATGTAATGATACCGTGGTTATATCTTTTTATTACATTCGATTAATGCCAATAGGAATTGTACGTGAGATCATATTCATATGATTCCAGCAGAGCAGAGATCTGGATTACATTTACTATCTAGTGATTTTTACTATGTACACCAGAAGGAGAATTCGGTGTTCCGCAAGGGCGTGTCTGGGGTTGTTTTGTATTTCAAATACATAGCGTCATTTGGCAGAATCAATGAAATATTGGGTTAGATATCCAACTTTTCTGCACCAATTGGACTACTGAAGACGGAAATACGTCTTGCAGTATTTTATGAGCGAAAATTTTGCCCGGACAACGGCGGCTATTGTCTACTCTTGTTTCTAAATGTCAAGGGTTCTTTTACGTTCTCACCGGATATGTACACGGAACCTCGTTTTTTCTGTGGACTAGGGAAGCAATGAGAGGATACCAAACCACCTATCCAAGTCATCAGACGACATTCTCGTTTAACCCGACGTCCCTAGTGGCGTTAATGAGATGCGTTAATGAAATGGGGTTTAAAGTCGTTATTGACTGCATAAAGCGGGCGTGCTATGTCGAATTTCAATTGTCAATGGTCCTTTTATGTGCACACCAGTGTGTACAAGAGACCTGTTTTTCTGTCCCATCTGAACGACTAGTCAGTATTCCCTGCCAATGGGAACCCATGCCAGATAATCCCGGGTACGCTCTGTTCACCCGAGGTAATTTCGGGACTTACGCCATGAAAATCTGACAGAATAATTTGCTCAACGCTAAATATTCCATATCTGAGAATGTACATGTGTTTTCTATTGGTTATGATTTTGGGTGATACAAAGATACCCTATATCATATCCATATCCTCGATTATATAGCGCACATCTAGAATCGTGAGTCACGTTTATCGTATTTGACCAAATAAGGATGAAAACTGTTTTAGACAAATTCACAAATAATAGTCTTCCATGTGTTGCACAAAAAATTACTTCCCCATGATAAATGTCTACATTGACAGCTCATAGCGGATTTAAGCCAATATTTGGTCGAATACCCCATTAGTTGTTCGTTTATCACACGTGTGAAATATTCATTACCTGAGCACAACTAATCGACATTTTCAAACATTAATCTTTCTTTTGATTTACCTGGTTCGAACACGGCCAACTCATATGGAATGAGTCGGACCAAACCACGTTTTTCGTAAAATTTAAAAACTTCTAAAGTTCGTCTGTCTATGTTGTTAATTGACATTAAAGGATAAATATATACACTACGTATGCCTTGAAGCCACAGTATCTCCATCCATTGTATAACTATCATTGGGTCTATATATCCATATACTGCATGAACACAAACTGAAAGTAGACCTTCCGGTCGTTCAGGTTTATATAGCTGTAGTCCCATAGCGGTGGTATTTTCACAGGTCTTTTGGATACTGACAGATAAGATTTCCTTTCCGGGATATGGCAGAAGACATTTGTAAATGGAACTTTTGAATACTCCATATGGAAAACCAAATACAATAGAAGCATTAACATTTGATATAGTTTTATCAGCTAAATGAAAGCAACACTGAAATGTTGGCTGGTTAGGTTCTCCGTTCAAGGCTTGAATTCGAACATCCAATGTCTGTGAGGTTGTAGTTCGTTTGTGTATTACAGCAGAATAAACAAACAAACGGAGATCATCTACTTGAATTGGAATGAGCCTAGGCGCTGGACTCTGATAAACCAATTTATTTGTCTGAAACAAGACGAAAAATGTAAATTCATCTACATATTACGAAAAGGGCCTGCTTTGAACTCTAATATTGAAAGCTTTGTGGGGGGGGGGGACCAGTATTTTGTAACGTCTACAAAATGACATGATTCCTACAGCCAAAGCTGTGCCATTTAAAACTGACAACGGGAAACGTTCGATTTGGTTCTATTCGTGGGTTTTCTCCGAGTCCTCTGGTTTCCTCCAACTGCGAAAGACCCTTCACTCCAACGGGTCATATATGTTAGTCCCGAAGTTACATAGTTTGTGTTTGTGTGGGCGTGTGTGTGTATGTATTTATGTATGTGTGTGGGTGTGTGTGGGTGTGCGTGTCTCTCACTCTCACATGACAAACCCATTATAAACTCCCTAGATCATCGGATAGTCGTGATTTTAAAACACAATCGCCATTTACTAATTGAATGTAAAACGACTAATTGAGACTTTGTTTATTATCGTATTATTGTTAAAACTTCAAACAGTCATTACTTCGCTTAGATTAAAGTAATTTGACCGAAATTTTCAATATATTAATTTATTTTTAAACTATTATAACAAGAATGGCCAGCTCTTTATCTAAATCTTACATAATGGGTCTTTAAAGTAGATTTGATAGATTTGAAACATAATTATATAAAGACGTCGGTTTGTAAAGCATTGAATGCTCATAACTTAAAATAGAATTGATCGATTTGAATAATTTGTTTAATGAAATGGGATTTAACGCCCGACTTTTATCTTGCCCGGAACGGGGGCGCCAATGCCTACTCTTATATCAAATTCCAACTGTTCAGGGTTCTTTTACGAGCACGCTAATATGTGCAAAGGGACATCGGTGTTTCGTCATGGCTTGTGTTTAAATTTGTGGGAAATACACGTGATGACATAGATCCCTGGGAATTAACCAAATGTTATATATTGCCATGCTATATAATTTAGTCAAGTGATTTATTATTGTCTTTTATGAAACGCCTATAGTAATATTTTATAACACTTTATTGAGAACAGTAGCACGTAAAACCATATTTCGTTTCATTTTTGTTTTTCCAATTCTTTTTGTTTTTTTAGCTGATCAAATGTCCTAAGAAAACTATAAACTTCACCTCAAAATCCTCTGACTTCTTTGGAACCCGTTCATTAATTTTATCTGAATTCATTCTCATATTTCTAAATTGTGCTCTGATCGCCTCCTCATTTTCCTCTCGATAAATCCTAATAGAAAGCGACGTATACTTAAACTGCAAATATATAACAACAGCCACGCAAAACAGCCCAATAGAGAAAATAGTTCTCACACTTCTCATAGTTCAACATTAGCGTTGGGCGTTCCAAAACCAGATCTGGATATCCATAAGAAAATTAAATACATACATTAGCACATTGTTCAGAATCCTTTCTTGTTTAAAATGTATTAATCATATTTTAACATTTTTGTATAACGATTTGCACTTTAATAAATGAACTCATAGAAAACGAAACGACTCCATTAACTTTATAAAGGGAAATAACCGAAGCCCGGTCTTAATTGAAACTTATCGTATTCCTTTCCAATTTTTTTTATAACAGTTCAAAGTTGTCAATATTTGTATGTGGTAGACAGTATACTTGATCATAATACATATCGATCAAATAGGAATTCATTGGAATTTAAACTCACACCTGTTGCATATTAGGTGTTTGAATTATAACAATTGACTTTTTCCACCAATATCAATACGCATTAACTTTACGGTGGACTTTATCAAATATACATTTCTTAAAAATTATGCGATTCTTATGTTTGGTGAATGCGAAATATTAATTTTTGTTTTGTTTAGTAACAAAAAGCATCTGATACAACACATACAAGTATTATTCATTAGACAATGGGGGGTTATATCTTGATGAATATCGATAAAACAGAATTACCCCGATAAAAACAATAAGGATAAATTTACTTCCTTGGTTATACTATATTTGAATTTTCGTCACATACGGTGGCGGGGGGTGGGGGGGGGGGGGTCTTAATGGTTAGCACGTGCGCGCTGTATCATAAAGCCTGTCATTGAGTCAACTGGCGTGGTTTCGAATCCCCGGTTGTACGTGACAAGGAGAAGGGTCGCCTGTCCAACCTCGTGGGTTTTCTCCGGGTCCTCCGGTTTCCTCCCACTGCTAAAGATCCCTACGCGCAAGCGAATTATTGAAATAAAATTAAACCATATGTTAGTTCCGAAATGACCTAGTTTGTGTCAAGTGGACGTTAAGCCCAATTTCTCTCTCTCTCTCTCTCTCTCTCTCTCTCTCTCTCTCTCTCGTCACATACGAACAACTAGAGGCGGGTCCTTGCCAGACTGATATATATATATATATATATATATGTTATAATCATTTTTTGAATGACAATGTAAAAACAAAAAAATCTGCTGGATTCTAGGCACCTTGCCTTGTTATATTAAATATAATATATTACTTAAACCCCACAAGGTCCAAAAAATAAATATAAAGTTTAAGACAATATACAGCTAATATTACTTGTAGAAAATAAAATTTAAGTCAACAAATATTCAAGTCTATTAATTCTATTTTGTAAATTATAATCACGACCTACTCTTATATCGAATTCCAACTGCCAAGGGATTTTTTACGTGCACGCCAATTTGTACACGAGACCTCGGTATTTCTTCCCATCCGAACTACTAGACAGCTGTCCTTTTCAGGCCCTCCGTCCTGCACCATTGACAACGGGCATTCAATGTGTACTCCGTGTTCTATTTATTTCACAACGCTATCTTCATATGTTTTACACATAACACTAATTGTACTATATTTATAGGGATTTTAATGCTCGGATATAATAATTAAATAATTAAAAGGATCGGGTTTAACGTCCTACTTTTCTATGTACCGACTGGGATACTGAAGTCGAGCGTACACCATACAGTGTGCTAAGAGGGAAATTTTGTCCGAGCAGCGGGGCCTACTCACATGTCGAATTTCAACTGTCAAGGGTTCTTTTACATGCACGCTAATGTGTACACGGGACCCAGGTTTTCGTACACTCCGAACGACTAGCGACTGTCATTGCCAAATCCCCGTCCTGTACCACTAACAGGGGACCCACGACTGAAAATTCCGAAGTACTTTCACGGCTAATACCGAGACACAATCTATACATTAAATTATAAGTGAATGGCCTGCCTTAATGTGACTTTAAAATAATGGAGGGGGGGGGGCTAAGGCGTGTGCTTTAAATAATAGTGTCTGTGATGGAGTCAAGTGGTGCGTGTCGATCCAAATAAAGTTCGTGACAAGGTGTAGGGTCAACTGTACAACCCCGCGGGTTTTCTCCCACCGTTAAAGACCCCTACACGCAAGCAAATGATTACAATACAAGTTTACCGTGATTGTTTTCTCAATTCAGTAGTTTCACTGCTATTAATAGTTACCTCCCTTGTATTATCGGCGGGCTTGTAAGAGAGTAATTTGCCTTTCTCCTGTACTAAAGAAGTGGCTTGAATCATACCGTCTATTTACAGAACGAATGTAAAACCAGACTCCTCCACATTAACATGGATACCAGGCAGTATAACTTTGCTTGATACATTTGTTTTAATTTAAGTATTATCGGAATCGGCTGATAATTGGTTTTACAAACCATCAGACAATATCCCCCATAGCAACCAATAATGTCTCAAGTGGTCATTTCAGGTATTAACCCTCTATAACGTAATTAGAGGTTGATATTGAGGTAATATTAGTCCCCAATAACCCTCAATACCAACCTCTTTCCACTGTTGTAATTTGAAATAAAACCTTTTGAAATAAAACCTCTGAAATAACTACTTGGAAACGGTTGCTATCTACTGAATACTTTACCCATTCAAAGAGAGATAGAGAAATGGGGTTTAACGTTCACTCGACACAAACTAGGTCATTTCGGGACCAATTCTTGCGCGTAGGTGTCTTTAACGGTGGTGAGGAAACCGGAGGACCCAGAGGACCCGAAGAAAACCCACGAGGTTGGACAGGCGACCCTACTCTTTGGTGAATTGTATATTCGAAAAGTGAAATGAAATCAAATAAAACGGCGTTTAACGACCTACTTTTCTGCACCAACGGATATCCATACAGCGGGCAGGACATTTTGCGAGAACAGTGGTGCTACGGCCTACTCTTACTCTTAATTCCTGCTGTAGGGAAGAGGGAAATGGGGTTTGACGTCCACTCTACGCCAATTAAGTCTTTTCGGGACTAATATATGGTTCAATTTTATTTCAATAATTCGTTTGCGCGTAGGGGTCTTTAGCAGCGGGAGGAAAACGGATGACCCGGAGACAACCCTACTCCTTGTTACGAACAACCAGAGAATCAAAACCACGCCAGTTGACTCAATAACAGACCTTATGATACAGCGCGTACGTGCTAACCACGCCCCCCCCCCCCGATCCATTCATTTGTGCGTATGTTTATTGTGGTGTCGGCATATCGTTTCTGTATATCTTGTGTAATCGTATGTGTGTAGCACGGTCCCCTTGCACCTACTATTGAAAGACACATAAAGAAACGTCTGGTACGATAACAGCAATGTCTATCAAACAACATTACAACCCCTAAACCTTTTCTTAGAAATATGGCCAACTTTTGATATACTGGACACAGGATCTAAGAAAGAGATGGGAACTTATGTAAACTGTATATTAATGGCTGAAATCGGTTCATAACAAGGACATTGTCCGAGTGATTTTCCTCTTCTTGGAAATATACAAGTTCGAACGTCAAGTAAATATAGACTATACCAATTAAACCGCTGAGTAAAATTACTCTTTATGAATCTACCATGCCCGGGTTCTTTGTTTTAAACTAAGGAAACCTGCCATAACATTTCTTTAATTGCTAACTTTTCTGATTGGTCAAGAGATCATTTTCTACATCTCGTCATGGGAAAATAAAGTTCCAATTTATATTGCAACTATATCTCCTTTAGCCACATTTGAAAAGAAGGTATCTTTTAATTTTAGACTTATCAGCAATGTGCTTTGAACATCTTGCTTGTGTGTCAATGGGAGGTGTGGCCTTTACCATGTCAGAAAACACTATTTATTTGAGCACTGTACATGCTTTTAATTTATATTATGACATTTATAACCTGCAAGGTGGCTTACTGCAGGACTGTGTTTAATTTTTTAAAACATATCTTGATTTATGATCCTACAAATACAAGGACTTTAGTCGAAAGCATTCGAAAATATTTGTCAAAAGCTACCATATTCAAAAAGAAAAAAAAAGATCCCCACTTGATGAGCAATTATTCTGAGAAACCCCAGCAGGTCATACAACAACTTTAGGTATATATTGTGCATCTTGTGTATTGGTTGCACTATCCGAAATCCGAAATCATTAGATATGAAACTGTTGCTGCTTCTGTTTGCCTTGGGTAAGCTTGATTAACGCTTCATTCAAAACTATATAAAGAGGAATTCTTTACTTTTCTTCAGAAATTAGTCGGATTGGAGTCTTAACGTATTATACAATACAATATTACCTTTTTATGATTTTAAAGGCTGTGTGTCGGCTGCTCCAAATGAGCGAATTGTTGGTGGATCTAATGCCTATGCTGGACAGTTCCCGTGGCAGGTTTCACTGCAGGTTGGTAGTGGGAGCTCTTATTCTCATATCTGTGGTGGTATTCTGATTGCCGCTAACAGAGTTCTAACTGCAGCTCATTGTGTAGATGGTAGAAGGTAACTATCCAATTTTACTATTCGGATATTCTAAGTCATTATTCGGATATTATTCGAATATAGGATTAGCCGTGGCTCATTGGGTACGGTTCTGTATCGCTAACCAAGGTCCAATGGTATGAAACACCGACGTCCTGGGTACAAGTTTGTGTGCACGCTAAAGAACCATTTACAGCAGGAATTAAGGTGGGGGTTGGTGGCCGAAAGGTTAGCGCATGCACCTGGTATCATAAGGTTTGTCATTGAGTTAACTGGCGTGGTTTTGATTCCCTGGTTGTTCGTGACAAGGAGTAGGGTCGCCTGTACAGCCTCATGGGTTGTCTCCGGGCCCTCTGGTTTCCTCCTACCGCTAAAGACCCCTACGTGCAAGTAAATTATTGAAATACAATTGAACCATATGTTAGTCCCGAAATGACGTAATTTGTGTCGAGTGGACGTTAAACACCATTTCCCTCTTCCCTATAACAGGAATTAAGAGTAAGAGTAGGCCGTAGCACCACTGTTCTCGCAAAATGTCCTGCCTGTTGTATATCCATTGGTGAAGAAAAGTGGGGCGTTAAACACCGTGTTATTTCATTTCATTTCATTTCACTGTTCGAATATTCGACGACATACAATTGATCAATTTATGAATTTATTTCGAAACCTCTTCAGATTTCTAGAACTTTGAAATGAATACATGTTTCCTTATATAATCCTATGTTTATTATTTAACTTTCAGTGCCAGTCAGTTTAGAGTTGTTTTAGGTGAACACAGACTTTCGAATACTGACGGAACTGAACAATACTTCAACCTAGCTTCTTTAGTTATGGTATGTTATTTTGTGCATTCCATTTATTATTCTCAATATCATTATTAATATTAATATTAAATTTTTTTATTGTTATCGAATTGCTACTCTGACGATAACAATGAATAATAATCTTTGAGTGACATTTAGAGATAGGGAAACACATTAACAGAACACAGTTTTTATGGGATACAATCACTAGTTTTATTCTAAAAGCACGACGTTTCGTCAAGTATCCTCTACTAGTTTTATTCTAAAAGCACGACGTTTCGACAAGTATCCTCTTATCGTTAGAATGCTTGTCGAAACGTCGTGCTTTTATAATAAAACTAGTGATTGTATCCCATAAACACTGCGTTCTGTTAACAGTTTTATTCTAAAAGCACGACGTTTCGACAAGTATCCTCTTATCGTTAGAATGCTTGTCGAAACGTCGTGCTTTTATAATAAAACTAGTGATTGTATCCCATAAACACTGCGTTCTGTTAACAATTGATAAGTTTACCATCGCGATTCTCTTCAAGCGCAATACAATCGGCTTCTAAAACCATATTTCCATAATGCCGTTCTAGGTTAATGGAAGGGTCAAGCTTAAGGTCCATATATCGAAGACTTCTTGGTTTTCCTTAATTCATTTTAGCAGCTGGCGGTCATGTGCATTTTTTGTGCGCTCAAAATCTAATTATTCAAGACTTAACACATGCTAAAATATGCCCACACGAATAATATAACATTTTAATAAGAATACAAAAACGAAATAGCAGGGGTAGATAATCTTCTAGATAGATGGAAATCAGATTAAATCGACTGCAGGGGTTGTCAAATATGTTGTGAAAATTTTAAGTTCATCACATGTTTGTAAATACTAAATGAAACTGAAGAAATTTTAGACTAATATTCCTGCTAGCAAATCGAGATTTCCCCTTGTCAGTTGTGCAGGACAGAGGGCCTGACAAGGACAACTGTCTCGTCATTCGGATGGAACGCAAAACCAAGGTCCCGTGTATACATTGACGTGCACGTAAAAGATCCCTTGACGGTTAGCATTCGATATAAGAGTAGGTCATAGTGCCGCTGCCCGGGCAAAATGTCCCACATAGCAGCACACTGTATGACGTATTCCGTTTTCATTAGACCAGTCGGAGCAGAACAGTAGGACGCTAAACCCATTCCATTTCATTTTCATTTCCTCATAGCAAAACAAATTGCACATTATTGTAATTTAAGAGATTCGACATTTCTCGTATTTTTAATATTTAACCAGAAATTAGAAACACAACTTTTCTTGTCTGCTCCATGTGTTAAAGAAGGAAGAACATAAAGATGATAAATAATACATGAAATCAACTGGGATATACCGTCCTTTACTGTTCTGCACGAACAAGGGATAATGGTGACGACAAAATTGTGATAAAACACCAATCATGTTTTCAGCATCCAAGTTATAACGGTAACAACAACAATGATGGCTTTGCTCATGATTTTGCTGTATTAAGATTAAGTGGTTCAGCTAATACAGGCAGCAGTGCTGTCAGTATTATTGGTATGGCTAATAGCGGAGATGATTTTACCAATCAACAATGTACTATCAGTGGATGGGGAAGAACTGTCGGTAAGCATCTACAATTAAACTAATCTTTATAATGTCTTTTTTTACAAAGCAATTGTATGAAAATTCGACAGGGATGGGTAGAGATATTAGTCCGTGTACAGTTCGTGTGTTCTGGTGAAGCATTCTGGCATGTACATAAGCATATTTTATTAATTTCTATAATTATTCCTAGGTGGTGGAAGTCTTCCCAACACATTACAGTGGGTAAACATGCAACAAATCTCTAACGCCCAATGTGCCGCAGCTATGTCAAATGTCGGTGGTGCTGCAATAGGATCTGGCCATATCTGTGTTTCCCAATCTGGTATATCTGCCTGCAACGTAAGTACGACCATTCCGTTTCTTCTTTTGGATTGGTGGGGTTTGATAACGGGGCTAAAGTTGTTTCAGGTGACTTCGGGTGGGTCGGTACTAGATGACAAAGGAACCTGCTTTTACCATTTTGAATGTTATCGAATGGATAGTGGAAGCAACGTGCTGATTTGCTATACATATATGTAAAGGTATATTTCAAATTATACTTGCTTATTTCATATTTCGGGTTGCCCAGAAATAAATGAATACACTATTTAAAAGCGGGATTATTCAAATCATTAGCATTACAACATTCCCAAAAGTACAGGTCCACTGCTCAAATAGTGTTTACTTGGTATTTATTTTAAAAGATAAAGTCAAATGGTCCCGGACTGAGAAGTCGCATTACACTTTCCTCAGTTTACATAAACTAAACAAATGGTCAATATGTCCCCAGAGTCACTCGTAAATGTAGCGCCTTCTCCACCCAGAATCAAGTTTATTTCTTCTAAGCATACTTCTGCCCATTTTGCCCATATACGATCTGGAGCAATCTCTCGGGAAACGTTTATGAAAGACACAGGGAAGCATGTGCGGAAAATGAATTGAAGGATACAATGAAAACTATACATGATATCGGTAGGATACGTGTCACAAAATTTATGCCATGTGTCTTACATCGTAGGGTAATAGTGGAGGACCTATGGTATGAGATTAAAAATGCATTGGGGTAACTGTACAATATCCACAGATTTTCTTAATCCGAATTCTACCTTGTTATTTTGTAGGGTGATAGTGGAGGACCCATGGTATGCAGTGGTAGATTGGCTGGTGTTACCTCATGGGTTGTGGGCAGTTGTCTTACCACTTACCCAAGTGTTTATGGACGAGTTTCTGAATACAGATCATGGATTGACAGCATCTAAACGGCCTTCAAATATCATTAATAAAAAGTAATGAAAGAAAACTATTTTACCGTTATTTTTGTATTTATTTATTTATTCCCTCTTGTGTACAGGATTCTGAATTATATGTTATCAAAATATAACTTTCTACTTCGTTAAAAGTGTGTATACATTCCCAGTGCCTCGGATAATTGAAGAACGATAGATTTGGGACAACGGTGGGGATAGGATAAGTGACCAAACCCATTTTGTGCGTCAAGTTTCCGTATCTCTGCATTCCAGTCTACCCAAAGGTAAATGGGTATCGGTAGTACAGTGTATGTAATTATACAAAAAATCGGTGTGCTCTTTGGACATCAACAGCTGGAGCTCTTTCCGAGGTTTAAAAAGGCCCAATGAATCAGGTTTTACCGGGACCCCTATATGGAATAGTAATGGTCTAAAAGATTTGCGTAACCCGCATTATATACACTATTAATTATTATTAAAGCATCTCCGACAGTAGGTGACTTATAAATAAACCAGATTCGACCCAAAGATCTAGGTCGACAACTTTTCAAAAGCAAATAAATGACAGTACACTTATATATGGTATCTATTTGTGACAGATGCTGAAAAAGACAGCAATCATCATAATATCCTTCACTATGTCAACCTCAATTGGTACTTGGTACACATTCCATCTGCATGATGATAGCACTATTCTCGAGAACACAATTGTATGTCATTTATGTATAAGTATCTCTTTCAATGATATGATGACTTGGGAATATAACACACGTTTCATATTCCATCCCAGTATAAATTCAGATTTCCAATTTTTTTCAATAGTCAAGACATAGATCGCTCAAAATGAAACTCTGTCTCCTGTTTGCACTTTTGGGTAAGTTGTTCTTTGTTGTGATAAATGAATTCTTATTGGTAACTGATGCGTTATTAAATAGCAAAAAAGCATTATTTTGGGATAACAAAAAACCCCAGAAAAACAATATAACTACTCCCCAACTCTGTAAGTAAGTAACGCCTGACATTTTTAATTGTTTGCATTGTCTTGTTAAAGAATACATACTGTTATCTTGGTGACTTTTGTGAATTCTTTTAAACTCGAACCAGCGGAATCGTAAAAATCTGAAATGACACAAATACCAAATCTTAATATATAATAACACGTGGGTCAGCAAACACCGAAGATGCCGGGGGGGGGGGATACAATCGTTAAAATAGTAATCCAACATTGGCACCCATTACTAATTTACCAGTCAAGCGGTGAAGAATGGAATTTAACGAAAGCACCTGTTTTAACAGTGTATTATGCTGACAGGAGGTTAACCCTTATATTAGTAATAGTATAATAATCACAATTATTAAATTTCATTAAATCGTTATCGTATTTATTCTGGGAGTCACGTGGTTAAGTGGGTAAGATGCTGGCTCGCTAGCCTGGAGATCGGGTGTTCGATCCCTGCATTGGCCGAGAAAGTTCATCCAGATTTTCCGTCGTGGTTCCCCCTTGTCAGCGATGCAGGACGGATGGCCTGACAAGGACAGCTGTCTAGTCATTCGGGTGAGACGAAAAACCGAGGTCCCGTGTATACATTGGAATCCACGTAAAAGATCCCTTGGCAGTTGGAATTCGATATAAGAGTAGGCGATAGTGCCGCTGTCGGGCAAAATTTCCCTCGTAGCACACTGTATGGCGTATAACCGTTTTCATTAGCCCAGTTTAGGAGCAGAACAGTAGGAAGTTAAACCCCATTTCATTTCGTATTTATTCTAAGGTTGCGTATACAGTGCTCCAAGTGAGCGAATTGTTGGTGGATCCAATGCTTATGCTGGTCAGTTCCCATGGCAGGTGTCTCTTCAGGTATCTTCTGGAAGCAGTTGGTCCCACAACTGTGGTGGAATCCTTATTTCTTCTAACAGAGTTCTAACTGCAGCTCATTGTGTAGATGGTAGAAGGTAAACGAATCTGATTTATTAAATTAGTTTGTAACGCGTGGGGCGCATGGAGATTTAACATGGAAATATTCTAGGTGAATTGAAATGTATTGAGAGATAAGGGGGCGAGAAAAGTCAAAGTGAGATATAAACAAATGCTTTTATATATTTCATTAAATTAAACATTATTATTCAACCTGGTCTTACTTCTAGCGCAAGCCAGTTCAGAGTTGTTTTGGGTGAACACAGACTTCAGAATACTGATGGAACAGAGCAGACTTTCTCTTTGTCTTCTTTAGTTATGGTAGGCAGAGTATTTATATTTAATTAGGTTAATTGGGCGGGTTCTTTGATCAATGACTGTTGTATACGTATAAGAAGTATAGAATCCAGCTGCATTCCTTCAACATTTGACTTGATGAAAGAAGAAGTCGTGCGCACATGGAAAATGGGCTCTCATTTGTAAAAAAGACCTTCTCGTCTGACATAATTGAAAGAAGTCGTATTGCACATTGAAAATGGGCTCTTATTTGTAAAAAAGACAAACATAATCGAAACCCATTCTATTACAAAAAACAAAAACACGTTCCTCGGCTTAATAGTCAAAAGTAACAATGTCCAGTAATTATCTTAATCTATGCCGAGATTATCTCCCACTCATTGTCCCTAAATTATATCCATTACGTAATGTTTAATGGTCGAGAGCGAGACATTAAGTAATATATTGTAACAACATGAGGGCCGTAGGCCCGAATGTTTTTACAATATATTACGCAATGTCGTAAGCTCGAGACCATTAAACATCTTAAAATACTGACACTCCGCACGAGCTTTTACGTCACACTAGTCCAATATCTCACCGGTATGAATAAAGTACTATAGGCAAGTTGCCCGTACGATTATTTGAAATAATGGTACGCGAACATCAAAGGGTGACGTCACATCTGTATTTTAAAGCAGATTAACACACGTGTGTGCATGTTCTCTGTTAGTTATATTACCTGTGTACTATACAACTATAGACAATGTACAGTGGTACAATGTAAATATGTATAACTTCTATATTTTGTCCATCTCTTTACAATGGCATTATTTTGAAAAGCTCCTAGTTGAGCGAAAAGTACTTTAACAGTGTTAAAAGGTTATTAAACCATTGTTGAAATCAGTTTGTGTCAGCATACCCTTTTACTGTGTAAAAAAGTAATACAGCTTTACGGCTGTGCCAATACCTTTGGATATATAATACATACTGAGTTAAATGTACAACCTATTAAACTACAAAATGTATATCTCGCCTAGATCCATATAAACGTTTTCATGCGTATATTTCAGCACCCAAGTTACAACGGCAACAACAACAACGATGGCTTTGCTCATGATTTTGCTGTATTAAGATTAAGTGGTTCAGCTAATACAGGCAGCAGTGCTGTCAGTATTATTGGTATGGCTAATAGCGGAGATGATTTTACCAACGAAAAATGCACCATTAGTGGATGGGGTAGAACTGTGGGTGAGTCAACCAAGTTATGAATTCGGGATATTGAAATATTTATATGAAATATACAATCTTTTTTTCCAATTAAATCTTCTTCTCCTTTAGTATTTCCATCAGATTCGTCTTTGTGTCGTGTTCTTACTTGAATATTGTAATCAACTAATGTAAACTCAGTGCATGTCATAAAATCGTCCACTGATCTAATTAAATACACTCCGAAGTTTTTTGCAGTCGTTCTGAACTTTTGCGGCCCACACCAGGATCGAACCAGCAAAGCCAATTCAAACACAATTCAAGAGAGAGAGAGAGAGAGAGATGTGGTTTAACGTCCACTCGACACAAACTAGGTCATTTCAGGACTAACACATGGTTCAATTTTATTTCAATAATTCGCTTGCGCGTAAGGGTCTTTAGCAGTGGAAGGAAACCGGAGGACCCGGAGATAGGACAGGCGACCCTACTCCTTGTCACGTACAACCGGGGAATCGAAACCACGCCATTCGACTCAATGGCAGCCTTATGATACAGCGCGCACGTGCTAACCATTCGGCCCTCCAACACCCCCTAAACACAATTGTATAATTAAATGTTTTATAATCTAGGTGGTGGAAGTCTACCAAATACCTTACAATATATTGCAATGACACAAATTTCAAATGCCCAGTGTAGTTCCGCCATGTCAAGTGTAGGTGGCGCATCGATTGGAAGCGGTCACATCTGTGTAGCTGAACCTAGTAAATCGGCATGTAATGTAAGTACTAGTAAATGGAAACTTCTTCCCTGCCGATAAATTATACAATCTTTCTTTCAGTACATATCACGTCCTAGCTACCGTAAGCAACAGAAATACGCATTAAAAATGAAATGAAATTGAGTTTAACGTCATACAACAACCGGGGCACTTATCTAGGGCATGTATACACAATGGAGATTCGGGTTTTTTTCGTCTCACCCGAACGACAAAACATAGTTCCTTGAACGCTGTTTCTTCACGTGACCTTTTTGTACAACTGACAAAGGGAAATTGGGCTGGTATATCCTGAGGAACATCGGGATTGATACCAGGGATCTCCTGGTTAGCGTCTTACTAATTAAGCTAACGGGGTCTCCCATATGTATTAGATCTAAAGGAGGCAAGTCTCTAACTCAATATCATCCAAAGTCTTCGATATTACAAGCACGACTTCTTGGTCAATTTAAATCAACATTGAAAATTTAAAAATTGACACGTGAATCGTTTGCTAGAATGAACGGGACTAAACATATCCCACAGGAGAATACTACCTTTGTTGGCTGGAATAACCGATTAGAAATTGCAGTAAAAACAGACACGATTGAATGTAAATCAGTTTATATACATTCATATTACTTTATTATATGCGTTGCGACCCATTTGTGTCCATTTCTAGGTGACAAAGAATAGAGGATTAGCTCCTTTAATCGCAGTTGTTTGGAAATTATAAGTTTTGCATGAAACAAAATAGTAATTAGTAAATTTTAGTCCTAAAGGCAATGCTCATTCTAATATCGTAGATTTAACTTTGTTGTGCAAAACATTAAGACGGTCCAACATTTTTTGACATTTGTATGAAGTAGTAATCAAAACAAAAGCAATCTGAAGAATGGCTGCTAGTCTCTATTTCTTGTCTTTGTAGGGAAACTTTAATTACTTCTTGAAAAGTTAACGCCTTTTCATCCTTGGGAGCTGCAATTTTATATGTTCCGTGAACGCTAGGTGTACCACGTGACCTATATACATTTTCTGATTGGTAGGGTTAAAAATGCATCCAAAAACATATAGATTTTATTGGGGTAACTGTACAATACCCACAGATTTCCTTAATCCGGCTTGTACCTTGTTATTTTGTAGGGTGATAGTGGAGGGCCCATGGTATGCAGTGGTAAATTGGCTGGTGTTACCTCATGGGTTGTGGGCAGTTGTCTTACCACTTACCCAAGTGTTTATGGACGAGTTTCTGAATACAGAAACTGGATCGACAGCATCTAAAAATATACATGCATATAACTCAATAAATGTTCTGAACACCTACTGTTTGTGTTTATTGCAGACGTGTTACCTTATAAAAGAGAGACAGGGCGGATGGGGAGAGGGTGTAACGTTCACTTGACACAAACTAGGTCATTTAGGGATTAACATATGGTCCACACAAAGCGGGTAATCAAAACCGCGGCCCTTGAATCAATGAAAGACCATGAAGCATGTAACATATTGGCAAATAAACCAACAAATACCACTTTCTACACACAACTAGGTTTGTCCGAACCTTCGTGCATCTTTCAACAGAGTTGGGTGGGTGTGGGGATGGGTGTGTCCGAATGGCGAGCTCGCGCGTTGTATCATAAGATCTGTCATTGGCGTGGTTTCGATTCCGCGGTTGTACGTGACTAGGAGTAGAGTCACCTGTCCAACTTCGTGGGTTTCCTCTCACTGCTAAAGATCCCTACGCACATGCGAATTATTTAAATACAGTAGTCAATGTAGGCCAGAAAGCAGACTACAACTAAGTGTGCAAAATACAAACGATTGTGTATTGTTTCTACAAGATATTCATAGAATCGGGTAGCCTCCCCTATATACCATCTATATTTAAATTTCTTATATAGTCTAGACAACTAATATATGTAAATTCAAACATTTGATTATCGATCTGTTTTACATTTTTTGACTAAATCTACGTCAGAGAGAGAGTGAGAAGGAGAGAGGGGGGGGGGTAATATCTACCTAATGCAAACTAGGTAATAGGACGTCCCAAATATTTGGGAAGCGATACCTTATGTTATAGTGTCGTGTACAGCACTGGTTACTAGATTTGAAGTGTACGCCAGAAGCTCTATTTGGTATTGTGCACGAGACAGTGTACGTTTACTTTTTCTAGAACTTCTTACAGATAGCAATTTTTTGGCACTTTTGCAGGACACCCGTAATGAATTATTTTAATTATTATTGCGTACGCGACCATACAAACACATTTAAAACTTATTTTATGTACCAATGAATGTTGTTGAACCTACAGGCGTGAAAGCGTGAGGAGCCGAGGACGGCTTCCGCTCATGTGACCGTCCCCTGCTTCCCATTTTATCTGGGTTATCACACAAGTCAACCTTACTCATGCAAAGATGTGTTTTAAATATAAACTGATCCGTATCTTTATTCTTTATGTTATTGTTTTTCGTTTTTTTGGGTATTTTTTTAGGCGGGGGGGGGGGGCATGTGGAGGTCTACTAGTAAGTACAGGGGGACCGCACTACACGTAAAACAAAAATCTACAAAATAAACCTACGGACAAGACAGAAAATAGACATTGCGCCAAATAAACAAATATCAAATCAAGTGAATACGTTTTTTGTTTGTTGTACATTTCTTATTTGCGTTCAAACCATAGACTTGTTAGACAACTCGCTGACGTTTGACATTTTAAATTGACACATTATGAACACTTTCCGGTCATGCGTGTTTGATGTACGTGGGAAGTGATTGGTGACTGCCATATCCTCCCACGCACATCAAACACGCCCTTGTGCCAAACTAAAACTTTATCATAATGCTAATTTACAAATCAAAATGACATCGACATGTGTTCATTGCGTGATGGGTAAGGTCAATGCCAAATTTCGCTGTAACAATGATCTGTACATCATATCATGCAAAGAAATGCCACGCCCACTTCCCGACAAAGGGAGGGGAGGTAACCCTTCTGTTTATTATTTTTAAAAAAATAATGACCTTTTAACTACTTATCTAATAAACAAGGGTTTATAGACAAGTCATTTATCTGTAAATATAATATTTTTACAACATCTGTTTTAAATACTAGTTCATCCTTTAATATCTAGTGGACATTTTTATGTCAGTAAAAGTATCACACAAGGGTCAAAACTGTAAGGAAATTAAATAATGATGTTCAGGAACGTTACAATAAGCAAGGAAACACTTTCTTTACGTCAACCGCTTCTTAAAATACCGTACAACAGCACTTGGTGGACGGTAAACAAGTTCCGACATTTGATGATAAACATGTTGAAATAGGAAGATGAAAGTAAAAGATCAGTTAGTTAAAACCTGTCTAATTCATAAGCAATCTTACATCTGGCAAGATGAGCTTCTTATATCCCAGTTCTAATGAGTCCTCGTTCAATGTATCGATTCTGTTCTAAAAGGCTTTGGTTTTCAGCCAAAACGGTCGCCCCTTATCCCGTGGTTTGAACTTTTCTTTCCGGGCCATGAGCTCAGATGTCTTGCAATTGCATAGAGATTGGAAACAAAGTCAATATGCATAATTACATTGGGAAAAGAGCCATAGATTAGACATATATTGACGTGGCTTTGTATTAAACAGGAGTTTGATTACGAGCCGTATTAAGGGATTTGAATAAAGATATTGCCTATGTGTTTGGTCGTGAAATACGCTAGATTGTATCAATGTTGGCTACTAATTTCAGACAGTTTTATGACTAGTCTCTATTGCCTTCTACGACTCTCTCTACTTCAACCGCCGCATTATGTTTTTCTAACACACTATACAGAAAAACACTAATTACCATTCTATATGAGATTTTTGACTGAAGACGTCAAAAAGATGAAATATTTATTATAAAGATATCATGGAAGTGGACAGGGTGAATTTATTTGCTTGATATGCATAGAATTGGAACCAAATTTATGATTGATTTTATACTAGATAGAGATAGCCAAAGTCTTTCTTTGAATTCTATTTGCATCATCTTCAAGGAAAGTTGCATCACCAAAGCAAATTCGGCACCAGGAAAATCTCAAACGAACTGTTACAGAACAACTTAAAATGCATTGCTTATCTCCAAAGTCCCCCTTTTGCGCTTGCAGTACGAAATATTCCACATATTTTAGATTTTAATATTTTTAATGTGAGGAACAATAGGAAAATCAGATGCGCCTCCCAGACAAAGCATTGCTGATATAATTATTAAAATACAATACAAGCAATGAGCAATAGGGTCCTGGGCACTTTTGGTCTGTGCAATGCTACGAGTCCCACTCTAAATGCTTGCAAGCTATTTAACCCGGTTCAGTGATACTGCACTTTTCTCCATTACTCGTACCACACTGCCTTCGACATTTAAGAGATTACCGGTATAGCCGATTATCGCCTTCAATCCAATAATTAATGGGAGTGTGCTAACTTAGGCCCATAACTCCCTTAATCCGGCACTGCTTCTTGTGTACATATTAACTTTAGAAAACAAGGCCAAGATTTTCCGTTTTAATTATATTTTATTTAAGTTACATATATTTTAACAAGTTTTATATTTCTACCACAAGTATATCACAAACTTGAACTAGTATCACATTAATTCCTTATATAAGAACTATAGTAATTATACAATTCTACATGTTTTAACGTATAAAATATTATAATATACAAAACAGTTTCTATAATTAATGAGTGGAAGTAACAGTGATAAGTTAATAATAATCCCTGAATGGTCACAAATACTAAAATACTTACATAATATAAAACCACAAAATAAAAACAAGTCAGAATCTAGGATGTAATTGAGGCAGGGTTTAAATAATTAATTTCCTTTACACTGACATATACTTTCGCCAACATAGTACAAATCAGGTGTAACAGACCACTAATTTATCATTTTTCCTCCAAACCGATTTTAAATCATGTTCTTTGTATTTGACTATCATATTGGAATAGACATCTAACAGGCTGCTAGCCATGTAATGTGTCGGAAAGACCAACAATGAACCGATACAGATTTGAACATTAGAGATGATGCAACTATTTCCATTTGATTAAAACACGAATCTTATTTCGTTTCGTGTTTTATTGTACATAATTTCGTTTTACCTCTCATTGAAAGTGTAAAAACACGAAACGAAATATATATTTGTACTTTAATCAGATTGCAACTATTTGGTTAAAAGACCATGTAGATACAACCCACACAACCCGCAGCACAGAGAAATGGATGATACTGATAAGAAAATTAAGATTCCTTTATTTTCAGGATTAATTTATTGCATTTTAAGTATTAAAACTAAAGGGTTTCTTTTGGCTCCTTGGTCAAACCATTAACTAATCTACAATTTAACCAGTTCTTTAAGTTTTATTGTATATTTAATGGAGAATTAAATGGTTGGGTTTTATTAAAAATCACTCAATCGTTTTGATTTGTATTGATTTGTATTGTGGGATGATAACTTGTCTTCTTTGAAAATTGTACGGCTATGGAAAGCTAGTGTTGAGATATACATGTAAATGATTTTCCAATCCACTGTTGGCATATTAAGCTAAACGTAGTAAAATATACCGAAGATCGTTCAGTCTTTCCAAACAAACATTATTTTATTTATGTTTGGATAGAGATTGCCCTATCACTAATCGAAATACTACAGCAAAACAACCCCATTCAGTACTTTATATTTATTGGCCTAATATCAAAGAGATTTATCCCCTTTAACTTGAAATCAACCCTATTCATCACTTTATTTTAACTTTAAATCAACCCATTAAATCAACCCTATCCATCACTTTATTTTAACTTTAAATCGTCCCATTAAATCAACCCATTTCATCACTTTATTTTAACTTTAAATCAACCCATTTCATCACTTTATTTTAACTTTAAATCAACCCATTAAATCAACCCATTTCATCACTTTATTTTAACTTTAAATCAACCCATTAAATCAACCCTATTCATCAATTTATTTTGACCTAATATCAAATAGGTTTAACTCCTTAATGCTAGGTTCCTACTATCACGATTCCTGTTACGATCGAAATCGTGGTTTTAATCGTGGAGTTATCGTGGTGATCCCATCAGGTCAGTCGTAGGAATCGTGTTGACCATTTCGAAACGTATCCGAACGTATCTGCACGTAGCAAATCGTAGACTCAATAGGGGCAATCATATCGTAACACATCATACGACAGTGGAACCTCAAGCATTAACTTGATCAACTATCGATTATTGTCTTAAATTGTTTTTTTACATAACGAAAGAACCGGTCGATCCACCTCTTACAACATCCAAACTAATCATTATTCTACAGAACATCCATATAAGCAATATATACATGTACATATAAACACGTGGTTATTATACATTATTACTATTAATCTACACATTATATAAAGACCAGCTTATTACCTTATTACATTAGTTTATTTACAGTATATTGCTATTATACATCATTAATACATTGACATGTATATTAACACAACGGTACCTGTATATGAACTTAGTAAACCTGTTAAGTAAAATGATGAATGTTCAACAAACACATAGTTATTAAACTTATATTTTAAAATGATGGATTGTCAACAAACTATGGTTATCAAACTTGTATTTCTGATTAACAAATTTAGCAGTATCTACACGTGCAGGATGTTCTTTAAAACACCGAAAAGGGGAGCAATAATAGCAGCCTGTCTCTGGAATATGGCAATTGTATGAATCCTCTCTCAGTAAGAGCAATTTGTAAACGTATCCACATGCAACTTGGCCACACAAAGCTAACCCAATCACAAGCGTCTATATTATATTTGAAAAACTAGATGACGTCATCTCTACATCCGTAGAATACAAGTGATTCCCGATATACACTGCTGAACAAATACACATACCCTAATTAAATGATGGACAACAAAAACAAAAACATGAAACAACTGAATAACATGACCATCAGTTCCAGATTAGTTCAATTTGGCAACGTTTACAAGTTATCACAGAGGAACAGCCTCAAGTTTATAATACTATATTAACATTGTCCCATACTCTGCAATCTTCAACCTTCCTATTAATATAGGCAGCAACAAGGGACCAGTCATCGCGGTAAGCAGAACATCTTCTAAAATGCTGGTATAACCATCCAAACGATTTTAAACAAAAACCATATTAAGCAAAGATTTTATAATTTAAGGAACAGGTAATGTTCCAGCACGTTTATATTTAACCACGGGTATTCCATTATTCACAAAAGTTTATTTGGTTTTCTCGGTTACCTTTGTTTTTGTATGATCTAATTAATTTCAAAGGTATACCCTAATGCCTTCTTCACTGATGTGCCTCGGTGTTTCATTGGGAAAGATCATCTGCTTCATGCGCTGAAAAGACAACAATACTGTGTGATAAAACTGCAGCTATAAAAGAACACATCTCGGCACATGATTTAACTTTTATCTTTTAGATATTTTACTGGTTCGCCAATCGGAGTGGTGCCGTAATCGATTCTGTGCCGAGGAAGTTGCTTGGGATTTTCCAGTCTGATTTCCCCTTGTGCAGAACGGGGGGTCTAGTAAGGATAGACGCGTCTAGTTGTTCGGATTGGACGAAAAACAAGGGTATACTCGTGAAAGATCCATTAACAGTTAGAATTCCACGAAGACTAATTGGAAGCACTGCTTCCTAGCAATTTTTTCCCTTATAGCACACCCCATGGCATAAGACCGTCTTCAATAGCCCGGTTAAACCCTATTTCATTGATTGATTCATTGTGTGCCAATCTCCAAATAATACAGTAACACATTCTACACTCATAACTATTTATGTCGGGGGGTTGGATGGCCGAATGGTTAGCACGCGCGCTCTGTGTCACACGGTCTGTCATTGAGTTCAGCTGACGGGGTTTCGATTCCCCGGTTGTACGTAACAAGGAGTAGGGTCGCCTGTCCAACCTCGTGGGTTTTCTCCGGGTCCTCCGGTTTCCCCTCACTGCTAAAGACCCCTACGCGCAAGCGAATTATTGAAATAAATAAAAATTAAACCATATGTTAGTCCCGAAATGACCTAGTTTGTGTCTAGACGTTAAACCCCATTTCTCTCTCTCTCTCTCTCTCACTATTTCTGTCCTCAATGACCGCCATTTTCAAAAATTAGTATACTACTTTGTAATGAAATTACTTTACTTCTTGATAAGGTATACTTAGTGTTTCGACTACAATCGTCGAAGAAGGAATTTGAATTCTTAAAAATGTCTTTCAATCGTCTGATTTGAAGACGAGACAGTGTAAGTTTCGTACGACAGTATCATTTACAATTTCTAAGGATATACTAACCTCCATCATTGTACCCTTGGTAGAGAGGAAATGAATTACAAAGTAAATAGGAATAGCGAGTAAAGCTGATAATACCATTAACCAACCAATAGCCAACGACCAGAAGGGATACACATAGTTGCCGTATGCTGGTGGTTCAGTATTATACACTGATAATATAAACAATGTCTGAAATATACAGAAACAAAGATATAATATAAACAATGTGTGAAATATACAGAAACAAACATATAATATAAACAATGTCTGAAATATACAGAAACAAACAGATAATATAAACAGTGTCAAAAATATACAGAAACAACCAGATAATAAAAACAATGTGTACAATACAAACAAAATGTAATGTTTAAATATTGTTTAAAATACAACAAAATAAGGCATACAACAAAATGCCTTAATTAACACATATGAATCTACAATATAAAGACTATACGCATATAATCTAAACAATGTCCGAAATTTAAAAACTACACAGTTATAATATAAAAATGACTGAAATATAAAGAAAAGAAAACACACAGATAATCTGAACAATGTTTGAAATATACAGGAATAAAAAAAAGTTTCTCGCATCAAAATACAATGTTTAAAATACCAATTAACTAACATGCGGATCAATTTTATTTCAATAATTCGATTGCGCGTAGGGGTATTTAGAAGTGAGAGGAAACCGGAGAAAAACCACAAGGATGGACAGAGGCGACCCTACTCCATGGCACGTAAAAACTGGGAATTGAAACCACAACAGTTGACTAAATGACAGACCTTATGATCTAAAACGCACGCCGGTGACATAACCGCCTCGATAATAAAATGATACAGTACAAAAACAAATAAATGATGGTAGAAAAATATCTTACCAGTAGAAAGACAGGACTAATGTAAGCCCAACAAATTTGCCAGAAGATTCCTGGTGGTTTTCCCAACATACTTTCAATATCCTTACTGAATTGTTTGACACCTGAAAGATATGAATATTGTGTGTAAAGCAGAAGTAGTATATATGAACGCCATAAGAAAACGTTCAAAATGGGTGGCAAATGTGGGGTTTTAATCCGCCGATGTCACTAATGAAAAATGTGACTATATTTACTGGGTATGATTTACAGGTAGTCTATTTTTTTAAGCTGCTTGAGCAGTACTGGATATTCTAAAACGAAACGAAAATCTACTATAAGTAGAAATATTTCGTTTTGGAATAGTTGATAAATTTAAGGATTTAGTGTTAAATCTGAAGTTAACGTTGAACGGTGGGGGGGGGGCATAAAACTATGTTCAGTAGGCATCAGAATTCCGGTGGCACTTTGAGCCGATCTAATCTCGTTATCTGCAGTTTAAAACTACATTGTATATTTTGGTTAGCAAAAGAAAACGAGGTATACGGTCGCCGACCTTTCGGTCACATAGGTTATGGTCATTAAGGCTACGATGTACATGGTCATCGACCTTTCGGCCATAGGGGCTATAGCTACAGGGATTTGGGTGTATTTGACCACCGGCCTTTCAGTCAAAGGTGCAAACTGGTGTTAATATGGGCTAACTAGTTATGGTTAATAATCTATGTGTGCAAAACTTCGTACATTCGTGTTAAAGGTACTACTAGTATATCATCGTATAAAGTTTGAGAAAATATCAGTTTTAATGGGCGTACTTTTTAAAATAAAAATATAAAACGATATAACATTGTATGTAGAGATTCTATACTACCAGTATATCATCGTATTATTTTTTTTTTGAGAAAATATCAATTTTAAAGGGGCGTACTTTTTATAATAAAAATATCGAACGAAATAACATTATCTGAGACTTTATTGGTTTATAAAGAGTAATATTAGTGAACTTACCATAAATCCACGAAACAGCCACCGCCTCCAAGAAAACCACAAGTAAAATAGAAATAGGGGCTGCGTAAACATCAAAGAGTTGTACCACATAAATACCTCCCTAAATGAAGAAAAATCCAATAGCTACAATCAGTTTGATTTTCCAAGAATTATCGCCATTGTCGAAATTTGGTTTCTGTGTGAATGTCTTTTATTATTATTGGAGCTTTCCTCATTAGAGATAGCTGTTACGCATAAACATCTGTTATCCAATTCAAATTCAGATGTTTACTAAATAAAAATATTGTTTACGAATTTATTTTTACCCCGGCATGGGTAGAAAAATATGACCTATTTTATTTTTGATTAAAGATTTAGATAGCCAAAGCAGCTAGAAATTAAAAATTGCCATAGAGAGCAGTTTGTACGAAAAGAAAACTTGGATGTTGACTAAATTTGATAAGGATTATTTTTGCATTCAGTACATCATATTCACAAGCTTTTATACACGGGGTTTATCTTCTCATAATCCTAATGTTTCACACCAAATTGGAAAATCAATAGGTTTCATCCTCTCATAGTCCTTATGCTTCACACCAAATTGGAAATAAACCCATTATGTTCACCATGTTTTCAGAAAAGGGGACATAACAGTAGTGGTCTTTGAAAGCGAGAGAAACCCGGGTATCACGAGAAAACCCACTTTATAAGGTGGGCGCTCTCTACTGGTCACATAGTAAAGCTGGATCGAACCGGGTACTCGGAGAAATCCCACAGGATAAGAAGGGTGCTATCATATCTCCAAACCAGGATCGAATCCATATATGGATAAATAAGCCTAATAAACTAAGGGGTTAGACCACGCGGTCCAACCCACCAAGAAGAACCAGAATCCAATGGAAGAATATGGCAAATAAAGCGGACATTTTACTTACGTATGTAGTTGTCGCTAATCCACCCAAAAAACAATAACACATAAGAAGAATGACGAATATTTCACGTTTTTTCCTCATCCATGGCCATTCATCTAGAATACCGGTTATAATAGCTTCTAATCCACCAAACTAAAAACAAATTCACAGATTGTTAAAGACATAAACAAAGAACATTTGATATAATCATCTATGTGTATGTCACCTCATGACAGTGGTGATTATTATCAAGATGATGAAAAATTTGGTGAAGGGGGTATATCAAAGGAGCTAAATCTATATTCTTTGGCAACTAGAAATGGACACAAATGGGTCGCAACGCATATGATAATGTAATATGAATGTATATAAACTGATTTACATTCGATCGTTTGATGTTTTTATTGTAAAATCTAATCAGTTATGTTTGGTGAAATACGCGAAGAGTCCAAATTGAATGACAGTCTTTGGCGTCTGGTTATTCCAGCCTACAACGGTAGTATTCTCCTGTGAGATATATGTTTCGCCTCGTTCATCGAGTCGCTTCATTACAAATGGCACTCGAAAGCATTATGGCACGCGATTCGTGTGTCAATTTTAAAATTTTCATTTCGTTTTAAATATTTTCACGGTAAGATCACAACATCAATAAGTCGCGTTTGCAATGTCGAATACTGTGGATGATATTGAGCTAGAGACTTGTCTCCTTTAATATCATGCAGAATAATTCAAATTAAAATCACCAGGTCTTATAATGTTTACTGAGGCAATATTTAATTGAGTTGTTATACCACTTGAAATTGCGATATGGTTCATTACAATTGACAACTGAACAGTTCCGCAAAGTTTCAGCAAGAAATCAAAATTCTAACCTATACAGTTTACAGCCGAATAACAGCACAAATATCAAAGCTTTTAAACAAAACCCCGAAAAAGTGTATTTTTTAATGTGTTTACAAAATTTCGAAGTCAGGAAACATAACCTTGTGAAAGGTCAAGCATCATTACGAATTTTGATTGGTTATATAGGGAGCCAGTTTCTGTTTTTTTAATTTTTCAAAAACCCGGCGCATTGTTCGACTAGGTCATCATGAATTGCAGACATACGCGAATTTGTAATATTATTTTTATAATTATGGATTTAAAAAATATAACTTTTTAGACACATTTGAACCAGAAAGAAATAAAATATTTTGTACGGTGTACATTGCATGTTTTGTTCCGATTTAGCTAATTCACGACAACCAATCCAAACAACTTAAAATATCATTCATAGATAAATAAAATAAGAGAGAGAGAGAGAGAAATGGGGTTTAACGTCCACTCGACACAGACTAGGTCATTTCGGGACTAACATATGGTTTAATTTTATTTCAATAATTCGCTTGCGCGTATGGGTCTTTAGCAGTGGGGGGGAAACCGTTGGACCCGGAGAAAACCCACGAGGTTGGACAGGCGACTCTACTCCTTGTCACGTACAACCGGGGATTCGAAACCACGCCAGTTGACTCAATGACAGACTTTATGATACAGACCATATATATATCTAAAAAAAACCAAAACATATAAAGTACAAAAGTACATGAAAACATGTTATCCGTTGCTCTAGAAAAAAAATCTTTCGTATAATGGAAATTATAGACCATGTTTCCAAAGACAAATGCCCGAACCAAAATCTAACTGATTTTCAATTAGGATACAGCACGCACATGCTAACCATTCGGCCATCCAACCCCCCCTAAATAAAATAAGAACATTACCGATGATAATATTAATGCAAAGAAAACCTACCGTTGTATCCAGTCCCAGTGTAATCAGCATGAAGAAAAATATAATTGCCCAGAACGAAGAACCGTCAATGGTAGCAATTGCCTCGGGGTAGACAACGAAAATTAAACCGACATCTGAAATATTTTAACATTCATCGACATTAAACGATATTCTTTCATGACCGTGATGCTGGAAATCAACGACGTAATTAACTATTTATGGAAGGCTATACAAATGTGAGGAATCATGTTAGTTTCTAATTTAAAGAGGAATAAATATCCTTGTTTAGCAACTTTTTATTTTACGTCGTTGTAAAGCCTGACAAGCTTCAAATGTTTTTGTAGACAATCTGTATGTTATTAGATTATGATATTGTTGCTCATAAATTGCGTCATATATGCACTATAAAAATCAAAGTATTTGACAAAAGTTAATTATTTTTTATGGAGTGTTTACTCTGTTCTATCACGTGTTGTGCCGAAATGTTCTAAGCGCTACGTCGTTTGTTCTTTCATTCGAGAGCGAGATAGAGAAGTTTGGTTTAACGTCCACTCGACACAAACTATGACATTTGGCGACTAGCATATTGTTCAATCTTATTTCAATAATGGACTTGCGCGTAGCCGTATTTAAGCAATAGGAGGAAGCCGGAGGACCAGGAAATTGGCAGCCAACCCTAAGCCTTGTCACGACCAATCGGGGAGTCAAAATCAAGTCACCTGACTCAATGGCAGGTCTTGTGATCTACAACGCAATTGTTAAACTATAAAGCCCACCCCACCCCACCCTATCTTTTCATTCGAAACATATTGTACAGAGGTGTTTTATTGTTAAAGTGTGCTTTCATGTATTCTTCCATCTCTCAACCTGGGTCATTATAAGCGTTACATTGAGTTACTGTTTTTACGATAGTTACGTATACAATAAGAGATATTGCCTGGGCCGCGTCTTTTCTTCATACTCTTCTTGTAAATCAAATGGTTATATCTCCTCTCATATGCACGCCAATGTGTTTTCGGGCTACACTCGGATTTCTATCCCTTGGATTGTTGCATGACCAACCCCACAAGAGGCACACGTTGGAACATGGCTTTAAAATACAAATTGGTCTTCTCGACAAACTCATGACTCGGTGTCCGATTCTTTTTATGCGATCCACAATTTGTATGATATGTTGTTGCTCAATTCATCATTATTATGTAATATATAAGGGTTGTAGAATAAGATTTCTTTAATCAAATGTTGTTTGCGTTTAATAATTTGCACATACCCGGTCTTGCAACTTCATCGATGCTTTTATTTTGTGCGTGCGCCATGTATCCTAACACTGTAAAGACTGCAAACCCAGCTAGTAAGCTCGTTCCACAATTAATTGCACTTGTTGCCAGAGCATCTCTGAAATATACAATAAATATATATTATTCTTTGATCTCGGACTGTAGAGAAATATTCTAAACGTCAATTGTTTAAGACGACGTATCGTACAGCATCATTCATTGAGCATTTACTGCCGCTTCCCCAAAATGTTTTAATTTTTGTTACCGTGTTGAACAGGAATACATCGGTCACAGCCACAAAGTAAATATGATTTATCATCCCTGACTAGCATTTCACAAAAAAGTAAATTCGTAAACAGGAAAAGTTACCTTGTACCATTTCTAAAATATTTGTTGCCCCTTTGTGTACATTGTGACAATAGAGGATGAAGGGATCGTTCTCATTCGTTTATTTATCATAGCTGGCTATAGATCATACATATAACACAACCCAGTTCTATGGATAACAATCACTATACATACGACGTTTTAACAAGACTTCACTGGTCGCTATCAAGCATACAAATTACAAAATGCTTGTATGCTTGATAACGACCAGTGAAATCATGTCGAAACGTCGTGTGTGTATATAGTGATTGTTATCATAGAGAGAGAGAAAGAGAAATGGGGTTTAACGTCCACTCGACACAAACTAGGTCATTTCGGGACTAACATATGGTTTAATTTTATTTCAATAATTCGCTTGCGCGTAGGGGTCTTTAGCAGTGGGAGGAAACCGGAGGACCCGGAGAAAACCCACGAGGTTGGACAGGCGCCCCTACTCCTTGTCACGTACAACCGGGGATTCGAAACCACGTCAGTTGACTCAATGACAGGCTTTATGATACAGCGCGCACGTGCTAACCATTCGGCCATCCAACCCCCCTGTTATCATAGAACTGTGTTGTGTTATATTATGTTCAATCGCTAAATGCCATTAAAAGATTAGAGCATACGTACTTGTAACAATTATTGTTAAATTTATTATAACTGGACAAAGCCAACAACACACCAAATCCTGGCCCCAATGAGAAGAAGATCTGAGCAGCCGCGTCAATCCATACCTACGTAAAATATAGAAATGGCATTAAAATACGTCGATATTATATGCCAAGTTCTGGACCGGCAGAGTTATGGACATCTTTAAAAAGCGGCTTTAGGACTTATGTCATTCCCAGTGCTACTTCAGGGTTAGGGGTAGGTTTAGTGGCTTCGGAAACCACTTCTTTCGAATTTGAAAAGACTAATAATACTGAAATATTACTTAGGCGTTCTATTTGTAGTGACTTTGAAATAGTTTGGCATTCTATTTGTAGTGACTTTGACATAGTTTGACATTCTATTTGTGGTGTAGTTTGACATTCTATTTGTACTGAACATTACTTTGACATAGTTCATTCTATTTGTAGTGAACATTACTTTGACATAGTTTGACATTCTATTTGTAGTGAACATTACTTTGATATATAATGAGGCATTCTATTTGTAATGACTTTGACATAGTTTGACATTTTATTTGTAGTGAACATTGCTTTGACATAGTTAGGCATTCTATATGTAGTGAATATATTACTTTGACATAGTTAGGCATGTGGAAAGGAGGTATTATTTTTAACTTACCCTGACCGTCATCAGCTTTTCCCATTTTGGTTCAATGAAATATAAGATGCCGTTCATAGCTCCTGGTAATGTACTGCCTCTTATTAACAATATGATAAGTACCACGTATGGTAGAATAGCAGTTACCCACACAGCCTGAAAAACAGTGATACAACTCTCTGGATAATACACTTATGTTCAAAAAAAAGAAATTATATACGTTTCTACGAGTTGAATCCACTCCAAACGATTTACGTGTCATTTAAACTAAACTTAAGCAGATATATAAATTAATAATTTTCGATATTTCAAATAAAAAACATTCACAATACTCTGCTTGCGTTGCAAACAGTTAGCGAATCCTTCAGTCATTCATATGTGTTGTTTTATTTTAAGCTCGTCATCGTTGTCCCTGTATTTACAGTGCTGTGCGTTCACATACGGGTCTTTCAAGTAATTGTGTCCTGTTGCTTTCTAGTGCGATTAATAAATGCTATTGAAGCATGTTTTTCTAGATCTATACATCAGGGCTTTGATATTCGCTTTAACACTACTATTAAACCCGTACTTTAGACCAGAAACTGAGTATAACGTCTTCGCAGCCATCTTATAATTGTGACGTCATATCAAAAATCGAAGATCGATCGATGCGCAATTGTCCAATCGAATTTAATCGATGCGCTATTGTCCAAGGAATAAGTATGTCACGTTTCATGTCGATCGTACGTGACCAAGAACAACAACAAGATGAATAACTTTATATCTTCCACTTACCTTCCCGGAGCTTTTGATGCCTTTCCAAAGTGCAAAATAAACGATGAGAAACACTGACATAAGACATAATGACATGGTCCATTTAACACCACCAACACTCTCTAAACCCATGGAATACTGCATCTCAAGCACCTCACGTCTACAAAAAAATACAATATATTGGTTATAAATCTTGTAAGTAAGTATTATAATCCTAAGTAATGCCATGATATTGAATATAACCAACAGTATACTTATGTATAGTATATAATTATCATTATATATTTATATATTATATAACTAATATGATACATATGTATAGTATATAACTAACATTATACATATGTATAGTATGTAACTAATATGATACATATGTATAATATATAACTAACATTACACATATGTATAGTACATGTATATAACTAACATTATACATATGAATAGTATATAACTAACATTACACATATGTATAGTATATAACTAACATTGTACATATGAATAGTATATAACTAACATTACACAAATGTATAGTATATAACTAACATCAAACTCGTAGAATCCAACACCTGTTGGACATGAAAGAGTTTGGTTGGTTTCATGATGTGGTTTTTGGGTTGTTGTTTTTTTAACTTCAAAAATGCATTAGAATTATATGCTTCGTGTATTTCGTATTGGTATTACCAGTAATAATATAATTTATTCACTATTGCTCGCCACGATTGGCACGGATATGCAAAAGAAAACCTTATATGGATGGCTTCTTTGATGAGATGACAGCTCCTTCATCAAAACAACATTAAGGTTTAATCAAGCATGTTATCAAAATCGTGTCAAGACATAAAAATATTTTAAAACCAATTTTCCCGACATCAAATGATACATAAACTACTTCAGATTTCAAAGTTTTTTAATTGTACCATTGTAAACACATATAATATTTTTTGAAATTCGTCCAGGATCTGGCAAAACATATCAATGCTGCCTTCGATTTCCCCTTCGATTTTAATTAAGGAGCATTTTAGATTCTTAGACAAGCCAAGATGAGCTAATCGCATGATCAAACACGTTTATCATGACATTAGCCCGGGTCAAGTATAGCCACAAATACATGTTGAAATGTTATGTTTCAATTAAATATAGAAGACGTCACAGTTACTAAAGACGGTTTCTGATATTCATGACATATGATCCGAAACTACGTTAAAATAATGCGTACACAGGAACCTTATAGGAATGTTGAATGAAAGCAGGAAGATGGGTGTCGCTAAACGTGTTGAGTGCTCAGTACATTATCGACATCTTAGATCTACAGAGATTGCAACCATTGAACACGTGTAATGGATATGTGAACAGTATTTCGATTATTCTTTTTAAGAAAGAAAAGGTCTTATTGATACGATGAAATGATAATCGACTGTATTTTAGATTTCCTTAATTAAATATCTCTGTCCAATTAAAACATCTAGTTATTCTCTCCGTGGTCTATTAAGTAGAAATAACACTGGCGTTACAGTGACCTGATTTCAATGATTCCTTATTGAAAATCAGTCAGATTTTGGTTCGGGCATTTGTCTTTGGAAACATGTCTATAATTTCCATTATACGAAAGATTTTTTTTTTTTAGAGCAACGGATAACATGTTTTCATGTACTTTTGTACTTTATGTGTTATTTTTTTTTTAAATATATATATGGTCTGTAATTTTTATTTTGGGAGATTTTTTTCTAGATAACCGGACACCATTTCTTATTTCAAAATGAAATGAAATGATCTTTAACGTCTTCTGTTCTGCTGCGAAGGGAGGTTGGATGGCCGAATGGTTAGCACGCGCGGGCTGTATCATACGGTCTGTCTTTGAGTCAACTGGCGGGGTTTCGATTCCCCGGTTGTACGTGACAAAGAGTAGGGTCGCCTGTCCAACCTCGTGGGGTTTCTCCGGGTCATCTGGTTTCCTCCCACTGCTAAAGACCCCTAAGCACAAGCGAACGATTGAAATAAAAATTGAACCATGTGTTAGTCCCGAAATGACCTAGTTTGTGTCGAGTGGACGTTAAACCCCATTTCTCTCTCTTTCTCTCTCTCTCGCTCTGCTGCGACTGGGCTAATCAAGACGGGCATACGCCATACAGTGTGCTATGAGGGGAATTTTGCCCGGACAGCGCTACGACCTATTCTAAATAGAATTCCAACAGTCAAGGGATCTTTTACATGCGAGCCTAGAACTAATACCAATATTAAACGTTGATAAACATAATAAATGTATTAAAGCAAACAAAAAACCCCTAAAACTTGAAATGTATTTATAAATCTGATTTCTAAATAGATCCATGCTTTAGCCGCCGATTAGGAGGATGGACATGAGAATTAGGAGGATGGACATGAGGATGGACATGAGAATTAGGAGGATGGACATGAGAATTAGGAGGATTAATATGAACATTGAGAGTGTAGATATGAGAAATAGGAGAACGTATATGATTATAGATGGATAACAGAATTGGGATGGTGGATATATTAATTTGGAGAATTGGATTAGGAGTATGGATATAATTAAATATGGATAAGGGAATTGGGATGATGGATATATTTATTGGAACAATTGGTAGAATTAGGAGGATGGGTATGAGAATTAGGAGGATGTATATAATTATATATGGATAAGGGAAATGGGATGATGGATATATTTATTGGGAGAACTGGTAAATATGAGAATTTGTAGGATGGATATGAGAATTTGGAGGATGGACATGAGAATTTGGAGGATGGGTATGAGAATTTGGAGGATGTATAGAATAAGGTGTGGGCTTGGTAGTATGGATATGGTAATTAGGGGAATTGGTAGAATTCGGCGAAAGGATACAAGAATTGGGGGGATGTATAGAATTCGGCAGGTGGATATGACAAAAAAGGTATGTGACGTTAGAATGACATATAATTAGTACTCACTCAAAGAATTCTGTCGATGCTGCTGATGAGTAGTCATCATCTGTTGCATTAACGCTGGTACAATTAAAATAGCCGACTGGTGTTGTTCCGTTATATAGATCCATGTTCCAAGATTGATTTGGCGTTTTCTTGCACTGTGTGACCACTCTTTCTGAGAAAGTTGTACAATTTTCTGTGTTCCATGTGTTATTGCAGGTCAGCCATGGTGGCTGTGCTCGGAACGAGGAAAAGAAGAAATATACAGCCCAGGCTATGATTGTATTGTAGTATAATGATACATAGGTTGCTATGATACAAATAGAAATACCTACACCTGAAATATATAAATAATAAACGGTTTAATTATACAACCACCATTGGGCCAATATTCTCCCTTTTGTTTGGATTGGGTCCCATATTTTTAATTTGTTTTCATTTTGATTGAATCCTGTACCACCACAAGTCCGGGACTGTTTTTAGTTTATTGTTTGAAATGTCTGTGTTTATTATATATCTTGTCTGTGTGTGTGTCTTGTGTATTTGTTTATGTGTGGTGCGGTCCCCATGTCTGTACTTACTATTAAAAAGCGAATTTCAGAAATTATTGTCTTGATGTCATTTTGTACACCGAGATTATCGGATGTAGAGTGCAAGGGTCAATATGGCTACCATTTCAAATGATATTCACGTCGATTTTCTTCTTCTTTAGTGTACCATTGAATTGGTCGGATGTTCTGTAGTGTGACGCCACGTCATTTCTTCTGGAAACCACCCTTTCCCTCTGATTATCGTTAAGTACGATGACCTATACTTTTTTTCTTTCCTCTGTGATCTTTTAGTACTTCGATGGGTTAATTTGGGTCAATTTTGCCAGAGATTTATTTAAGGTGACTGGGGATATTGTTTTAGTCAATGACACATCGATACGATATTCGCATATTTGCAATTTCTGTTCATCGAACAAGAAACCGTTCCACATATATATTTTAAATGCCGTTTTCACGTAATTCCATTTCCAGATTACGGAAGATCTCGATTTAAGAATGATAGCTCACGGTTGAAGACCCGAATTTTTACGATATTAAAGTCAAATCAAAAATATCGCGTAAGGCTCTCCATCTGAGTCACAATAATCGTTATTTGATTCATTCACTACATAGCCCTCTTGCTTTATTTTTATTATATAATCAAATGGGTTTAACGTCCGACTTTTCTGCACCATAATGTAATCAAAATGAAATATAGAAACAGATAGAGTTAAACTATATCAAACCACAAATCGTTAAAGATTCTCCGCTTAATCATCAATAATTGTTGTTTTATCAATTCATTTGATCGCTTCAGTTGTCATGTTTAATATTTGCGAAATGTATGAAATTGAACAATGAAACACAACAAGATCCTATTAGGTTAAAATAATAATAATGATGGATTCATTCTAGGTTTAAACCACAGTAATTGTTCCTTTATCAATTTATTTCATCGCTTTAGTTTTACACTTTGACAAATGTACGGTACAGAATAATGCAAGAGGAGAGGGGATTCGAGGTTCACGGAACAATAATTGCTCTTTAATCAGTTCATTTGATTGGGTTGATTCCAGGTTCACGGAACAATAATTGTTCTTTAATCAATTCATTTGATCATGTTTTTCATATGTTAAATATTTGTGGAATGCGTGATACAAAAAATGAATTATTAGAAATGTACGATACGACATAAAATATTAAGAGGTATTTATTATATAATATAAAAATCATTGAAAGACATTGCGTATTGTTCACAATGATTGTATATAAAAAAACATACGCAAGGACAGGATAATTATAACCATAAATATTGAAATTATAAATGCATAGCTTATTGGATAATTGACATTTTCTTTAGATCATTAGGTCTGAGATCTTTGACCCAAATTTTATGGACAAATAAGTCTGGACGAAATGGTAGAAATGTAAGGATGAAGCGATAAGAAAATAGAGGTACGCGATACATATCTAATTACACGAAAGATATCCTCTATTTGAATAATGATTACATTTGTGCAAGATGTGTTGATAAACGGATTATGGTTCATTAAACGAGTGATTTGACAGCGCCAGATATCCGATACACGCATATTTTGACTATCCGATAGAACACCATTTGTAAGCTAACATTTTGAGAAGTTTGCCCATTGCTATATTCCTTACAAAATATTTTATTTATACGATATGAGATCCGCTGTATCGAAACTTCCACGCTTCTTTAATATGGATTCATGGGTTGTCATCGTCGTTAGCATGGTTTGAGCTGGAGTCAGTGTTAGACATTTTATTGTGATTGCCAAAATAAGAATCAGCACTAAATAATCAGCATATTAGTTATCCCTACTCTAGAAAGTCATTTTCGTGTATTCAAAGTTATACAATGTATAGGTTTAATTGCTGGATTCAATGTGTGACAACTTATTGCGCTGTAATTACTCTCGAAACTTATTTATATTTTTTGATACTCGATACAATCTAGATTATTTCGGGACTAACAGGTTGGAAATGCGACCTTCTCCCGTTCACCGTGGTTGTACGTGACAATGAGTAGGGTCGCCTGTCCAACCTCGTGGGTTTCCTCCCACTGCTAAAGACCCCTACGCGCAAGCGAATTATTGAAATAAAATTAAACCATATGTTAGTCCCGAAATGACCTAGTTTGTGTCGAGTGGACGTTAAACCCCATTTCTCTCTCTCTCCCCGTTCACCGTCATGCGGGGAATCGAAACCACACCACTTGACTCAATGATAGACCTTATGATCCAAAGCGCACGAGTTAAACCATTCGGCCACCCAATCATACCGTGTTCCCTAAAAGAATATTCTAGTACTATAGATCCATTGATTATAAAATGGCCTACAATAAACATCGGGAAGACACAAACACGGATTCTAAACAAACAGAGATTGATTCTGGAATGGAAACCATACTATATCTCTTATATTAATTGATAAAATTGTAATCGATTGAGTAGGAGTTTTTAGGCCAACTCATTCTTTAGCCAAGAAAACAAGAGCAATAGACAGGAACAACTTTAAAAGTGATTAAAATGTCATTACTAAATCCAATAATGAGATAATAATATTGTGCCAGTGTAAATCGGAAGGGTTATAAAGACATGGGTCTAGTCGTTCGGAAGGCACAAAAAACCAACGTCCCATGTACACATGCAACGGCAGTTGAAGTTCGCTGTCCGATGCCAAATTTCCCTTATAGCATGCTGTATGGCGTATGACTTGGAAACTCAGAAACAAATTTATAGTAATTCATATTCTTGCAGTAAGTCTAATACAAATGTATATGTAATTAACTCAAATCAAAACCAGTCTGAATATTATCTGGAAAATTATGAATGGAGAGAGTTTAGTTTTTTTTCAAATAATAATCAGCTTACCTTTGAACATTGGACAAATTCTCTTCCACACTGTAAGGCAACCACATCTCTGAAACTGACCCAAAGCCAGTTCCATATAGAACAGGGGTAAACCACCAAACACCAACATAATAAGATATGGTAGGAGAAAGGCACCTGTAAATTAAAACAGTTCTATTTTTAGTACGACTTATTCATCTATACTAATATTTGTCACTGTCGTTTGTTTGTCTGTCTGTTCAGGGTTGGCGGCTCACTAGGGTTGTCCCGAGGCTGAAATTTGGTGTATAGGGGTAGCTCGGACCGGGGAGTAACAAAGGCCTCGTGGCGATGGACTACTACTTCCGGTTTCGGAGCTATGGTTGGAATTTCGGCCCACGGACGAATTGGTGTCCCTGGCAAATGGGCCCTGGCGAATTGGGCCATGGACGCATATGGGCCCCGCGCGAAGCCAGGTATCCTACGAGTAATCTTATAAAATATTAGTTTGTAGTCTTTCAGATCCATAAATCCGATTCAGGACAACCGGTTATGATGTAACGTACATCTCGGTTTGGGGCGGGGGCGGGGATTAAAACAAATATCGTATTGAGATGACGGAGGAAACTTTGGAAATTCGCCACTATTTGGTTATGGCCAACAGTAACCCAAAGTGGGATGAAGTGAAATAAAGGGAAATGAAGTGAAATGTCCTACTCAAACGACTAGACACTGTTCCTTGCCAGGTGCCACACCCTGCACCACTGATAAGAGAAAATAGATTGAAAAAATCAAGTTAAAAAATGATTGTTCCTGTCTGTCCAATATTTATTATTTCTTTTTCTATTTTTGCCCGATTTCCTAATGTTTTCGTCTTGTTTCATTTAAATGTGATTACGCTGAATTAAAAATAAATCATCTCTTCCACCTAGAGTACATGTGTATTTCAGTTACGTATGCCGTTTAATAAATGAATTATTAATAAGTAAAAGGAAATGAAAAAGTTGTATGTTGAGATAAGGAATGCTGAATATTGTATGTTTCTATTCTAGTTATTTCAAGAAAACACTAATCCCAGACACAAAAAAAAAACTAAAATATCTAAAATTCTTTGGATTCAGACACGCCTTCGAAATTCCATCCTTAAGAAAATTTACAGAAATAGCTGCCTTGGACTTTTCAATTTAATTACTTTTGGTGTTGGGGTTGAGAGAGAGAGAGCGAGAGAGAGAGAGAGAGAGAGAGAGAGAGAGAGAGAGATGGGGTTTAACGTCCACTCGACACAAACTACGTCATTTCGGACATGATTCAATTTTATTTCAATAATTCGCTTGGGCCTAGGGGTCTTTAGCAGTTGGAAGAAACCGGAGGACCCGGAGAAATGGGGTTTAACGTCCACGTGATTCAGACTAGGTCATTTCGGGACTAACATATGGTATAATTTTATTTCAATAATTCACTTGCGCGTAGGGGTCTTTAGCAGTGGGAGGAGTAGGGGACATGAAACCCTACTCCTTGTCACGTAGAACCGGGGATTCGAAACCATGCCAGTTGACTCAATAACAGGCCTTATGATACGTGCTAACCATTCGGCCATCCAACCCCCCCGTGTTGGGGTTGAGGATGCAGTTCTGTAGTTATTTTTAGAAAGCACTAATCCCAGACACAAATTACTTAATACTTTCCATTCAAGCTTCTTTCATTAAGAAAATTTATAGAAATAACTGCCTTGGACGTTTCAGTTAAATTACTCTTGGTGCTAGAGTTTGGGAGTTGGGGGGGGGGGGTAGTTTTTTTGCTTTTAAGTTGTTTCTATCTCTTATTTTTTTGGTTGTTTTAATTTTGGCCTGTTTTTATACATGTAAAGAGGTCAGAATCGTTGAGGGTCAATGGAAATCGTTCGGCGTGCTTTGCTTGGAAGAAACCAGAAATAGCGTTTCTCGTCGTTAATATGTCACAATGTGTTACACATGCATCAATTGTTAGAGAAATAGATCAACAACTGTATTTACATTATTAACCCATATAAATAATAACTATGATAATATCAAAATCAGTTCACGTAGTCACATGGCCTGCATGGACGATGAACACAGAAAATTAACTGGACTGCTTTCTCGGTCACGGAGTTGAAATCGGCAGTAATTGGTTAGGGTTACAGTCGGGGTTAAGCATTGAAATGAAATGAAATGAAATGAAATGGGGTTTAACGTCCTACTGTTCTGCTCCGAACTGGGCTAATGAAGACGGGAATACATCATACAGTGTGCTATGAGGGAAATTTTGCCCGGCCTACTCTTATATCGAATTCCAAATGTCAAGGGATGTTTTACGTGCACGCCAATGTGTACACGGGACCTCGGGGAACTTTCTCGGCCAATGCAGGAATCGAGCGTCTTACCCACTTAACCACTTAAGCATTTGGGAAGGGTTAAAGTTAAAGGGTAGTAGTAGCAGTAGTAGTAGTAGTAGCAGCAGCATCAACATCAACAGTAGTAGCTGTAAAGTTTTCAATAAAACGTTTGTAGTTTCATACTTGGACCTTTTAGTGAAACAATTCTTGGCGGGCAAAAACAAATCAAATCTAAGAACAGTCGTGCAGTTATTCATAGTTGCATACGTATAATTATATTTGCCATTTAGAAATTGCGCCAATTGGTAATCTAAATCTTAGAGTTATCCTAAGCACTCAACAACCTTTTCTGTGCCTTTAACCGCAGGCAAAATTTAATTCCATAATCAACATGCAAGTGGGAATATTAGACTCTTTGAAATTATCTGAGCATGTGGGCTAACATCGTCTGGAACCCGGGGGTAAAGCTAATATGTGTCTATTGATGCACTTATTTATGATGTCATAGAATGGCCATATAGCCTAAAGAATAATTCAGACCAATTGTTTGTAAGGTGCTAAAGAACAATTAATATAGCTATCATTAGACATACTAATTCATTATTTTAATGGAATTGGTTAATGCGTTAGATGTGTAGTCGAAGACTTTAATTTCTTTCTTTTTAACAAGTTAAAATGGCCTTCACAAGCATGCCCCCCGTTCGTCTGCTGCGGATATTTGACCTTTTCATAGACTACTTGTCTTCTTGCCTCGGGTTTTTGCGGTTAAATGTTGATATTTTGATGATTGGAGACGAACAATTAGCAGGTATGAGAAGGTATGTGGCTTATCGTAACCCATATTTGTTGACACCTAATGTTTTGTGCCGTGATTTCTTCTCCAAGTTCCTTGTAATATGTTTAAATTCGTTTCTTTAAATGGCCTTCAATGATTGTCCTTCCTTTCTCTATCATGCTGATGTTGGCCTGCTTCCTTGGGGTTTTTTGTTCTGCTGAAGGGGTTTAATGTCCTACTGGGCTAATGAAGAGGGGCATATACACTGTGCTATGAGAAAAATTCTGCCCGGACAGCAGCGCTGCGACCAACTTTTTTTTTTATCGAATTCAACTGCTGCTGTATTTAATTAACGGTTGAAAAGCGGCGATGCAGCAAAGTTTGAGACTTTCATTAAATTACATTATTTACATTTTTTATCGTATTTGATGTGTTTACGGTTCTTTTACACTTATGCCATGGTATACACGGAACCTCGGCTTTTCGTACCATCTGCACTACTATGCGCTTTTTTTGATATATCAACCGCTAGGCACAACAGTTAAGAAGCCACCAGACAGGAAATTCACGAAGCGCTTTCTCGGCCAACTGCTGGATCAAGCCCGAAATTATCTGGTTAGTGAGCCAGCGATACTCACCGAGCTACTTGATAATTAATGATCATATATTTGTTTATAGACAAATTTCCTGATGATGGAATCATTTCTAGGACTTGATGACATGTTCTGTAAATGAGACACACATATCTTGAAACATCTGTTATTAGTTCTATAACTGAACGCCGTCCTTGTCTCTGATTAATGGCTTTTATATAATGAGTTGTAATTAACGGACAATGTTTGATTGCAATAAAATGCTAATACAGTTGACAATAGCGGGATTAAGTAGCTTTAGCCACATTTCATATGTAGAATTATCCTTAGAACAACAATAATTTATATACGTTCCAATGATTTATGAATCTATGATATAATTGGGGATCTTAGAGAGAGAGAGAGAGAGAGAGAGAGAGAGAGATGGGGTTTAACGTCCACTCGACACAAACTACGTCATTTCGGGACTAACACATGGTTCAATTTTATTTCAATAATTCGCTTGCGCCTAGGGGTCTTTAGCAGTGGGAAGAAACCGGAGGACCCGGAGAAAACCCACGAGGTTGGACAGGCGACCCTACTCCTTGTCACGTACAATCGAAACCACGCCAGTTGACTCAATGACAGACCTTATGATACAGCGCGCAAGTGCTAACCATTCGGCCATCCAACCCCCCGGAGATCTGAGAGACTCCAACGTATCTTTTAGGGTAAACGGTTTTGGCTCTTTGAATGAATTTTAAAAAACTTCTTTTTCATAAATAAAATACATTTTTGTCCTTAAATAGTTTGAGTTTTATTTATTTTCCAAGATCAGTTGAAAGGTTGTTGAGGTGGTTCTATTGCCTTTTTTTTAAATTAACCCCCAACGTATCTTTTAGGGTAAACGGTTTTGGCTCTTTGAATGAATTTTAAAAAACTTCTTTTTCATAAATAAAATACATTTTTGTCCTTAAATAGTTTGAGTTTTATTTATTTTCCAAGATCAGTTGAAAGGTTGTTGAGGTGGTTCTATTGCCTTTTTTTTAAATTAACCCCCAAAATGGCTGGAATTCTGGAAGGGTTAATGCTTCTTAGAAAACTCCAACATAAATGTTATGACACTTCTCCATACAAATGGAAATACAAAATTATCCATTTCATGTTTAAAGGCCTACACGGACAATCATCAAATTTCTTGTAATTTCATGTATGTGTGATATAGGTAATCGACCAGAAACACCAATAGTAATAATCTTTCTAAATTCTTCTGGTATCTAGGTTAATAAAGCCATACGATTCCATGCGGTGGGGGAGGAGGGTACACTTACTTCTTCCCGGACATTAATTTTAACTATCAGGGGATCTTTAACATGGTATCGATGATAAACACGTGCCTCAACTTTTCGTATCATCTGAACGACTAGACACTTTTCTTGTAAGGACCCCCGTCCTGCAACAGAAGGACACCACATGGTAACTGAGCCAACGCCACACTTACCGGGCCACCGGGCCACAGACATTTCGTAGATCCACGGTTGAACTCCTCAGCTATAACTAGCTGGGAGCCGCGGTTGGTCAGTGAGTAAGGTGCTGCGTATATGGACTTCAACTGCTGTCCGGGCAACATTCCCTCATAGCACATTGCAGGGCGTATGCCTGTTTCTTTATTAACCCGGTTTGAGCAAAAAACGTAGGACGTTAAACCCCATTTCACTCTTTCATTATAACTATTTGTTTCAAAATGGAGTTTTATACGGTATATTAAACACACCAGTCGACATCAATTTCCGTTTATCTTATTAAAATTTTATAATGATTAATTAAAAACTCCAGTTTGTTTGTTCCAGAAGAAACCTATCGTTTCGTGTTCTGCCGCACCATTCTATTTCTACCGGAAATGCACGTATAGTTGCATGTATTGAAAGGGGTCAAGGAGAACTACCGTAAATTCAATAAAGGATAAAACTTCTAGACGTCTGAAATCACGTATAGGTGCTATTATTTGTGGTGTATTTATCTGAACAAAAACTGAGCTTTCAATTTGCTGAGAGAATGCAGTGACCTTTAGAACCGATTCTCAAAGTCTTTTATTAATTTGAAATATTGAATTCTAAAGGACCTCGCATTTCCCAAATCTTTTTATAACACCAGTTTAATCACAAAATAAGGGAAGAACTCGTTGCTTTTTGGCTTTTTAAAGAAGCATTATGTTGGAGCTAATTCTGGCCATTTCAGATCTTTTTCTAGCTTCAAATGTTACATAAATTATTATTATGTAGCCAATAATCACCTCTCTAAGGTATCGAATGGTTTTGATATTTAATGGATTAGAAATTCTTCGCCATTTGATAAATTAACGATAAAATGGATTATCGAGACTTTCTTTGTTATCGTAGCAATTGTACTTGAAAATTTTCAACATATTCCGACTATTATAGCATAAACTGCCATCTATATATCTAAATCTTACATAAAATATTTTTTCTTCAAAGAGACATTCCAACATTTAATTGGAATTCCGGTAATTATGAGCCGTTTCATGGCAGAAATAATCAACGCGACTATTAATATTTAACAAAAATTTTGAACATTCAATTCACGTGATATTGTTGCAATAGTTTGCTATTTACTTTGGTTGAGCCGCGATGGTTCAGTGAGTAAGACGTTTGTTCGCTTACCTGGAGGTCCTGTTCGATACCGGCGTTGGCTATGAGAAAGTTCATCTGCGCGGCGTGGTACGTCTTTGTCAGTGGTAAAGGAAAGAGGGCCTGGCATGGGACAACGTATATTCGTCCGGGGGATGTCCCGTGTACACATTGGCATGCACATAAAAGAATCCTTAGCAGTTTGAATTCGATATTAGAGTAGGTCATAGCGATGCTGTCAGGACAAAATGTCCAGCACAGAACACTTTATGGCGTAAGCCCATCTTCATTAGCTAGAGATGGCAGAACAATAGGACGTTAAACCCCATTTCATGTCATTTATTTGCTTTGGTAACCTACCATCGGTTATTTATATCGTCAGCAGAGCATGCCGAATGTTCAGGAATTTTTAGTTCACCATTTTGTACTGATATTCCTTTTAGAGATTCAACTTCCATAATAAAATCTATCAAATGACGATCAATGGCTTTAACTGTTATAACCAAATAACAAAGCGTTGCGTGGATTATTCCTAGCATTATTATCCAGTCATTATTATGTTTATTTCATTGGTATCAACATTATTTGTTCAACAAACTATGTACAAAAGATGGTCGACAAATTCCAATACTTAACAGTTTAAAGTAATTATACAAATTAATCAAAAGTTTGATAACTATGCAGTTAGAACATTAATAGGAAAGATTGGCACCTCGTTTAGCTTGACGACGGAGAAATCTACAATATCACATTGCAATACAAGAATGCATCAGTAAAATAATGTTTTTAGTCAATTTAAATACAAACGAATACCACCAGATCATGGTATAAACAATCTATGACCCCATACGCATTGTGATGTCATGAGATTTCCTCGAATAGTTTCTCGCCTCGGTTGGGTGGACTTTATCAAAGCTTGATTATCGTTGAAGTCGACAATCGCAAGAATAATGTGCCATCGCAACGCCAAAATTCAAAGTAATCAGAAAGTATTTGGAATTGAATTATTATATTATCCCATTTCAATTCGATGCCGCGTCATCACTTATTGTTTTTAAATTTAAATATACACGAATATCGGTACGTGCTCCACACGACACTTTGACCGTATACGTAAGGAGATTATAGACATAAAAAATACCTTGTAAAATTCCTCGCCAATGTCAAATGTTTGTGAATTTAGATAAAATGTTTTAAACGCCCTCAAAACGGTGGTGTAAACATGATCAAACAATATACATGTAGAAAATGATTGAAAATAATCATGAATCTCTCTATTCGGTGGTATTAACTTGATGTTCAAATGTAGCACAGATTGCAGTTATTAGCTACAGCATCAAAATTGCAGATAAAAAAAAAACATTTCGAAAACTACGGAACGAAAGAGTTACTAAACTAGATTGGGTTTACGATAATTGAAATCTGTAATTAAAAAAAGTTGAAAAAATATCTTTAACGGAAATATACTTGTGACATTCGCCTAAATAATTGCGCGTGGTCTTCGGGTAAAACGCACTTTTCAAAGGATTTAAATTGGGCCCTAGCTGACGGGGTGTAACGCTAAGGGGATACTTGTTGTCGAAACGTCGCGCTTGTATAACAAAATCAGTGATTGATTCCCATAAAAATTGTGTTTCTCAATTATGCCACTCAAATGTGTTCATAAATTTTAATCAAACCTACTTATTTGCGAGTTGCATTACATTTTTCATTGTACTATTATATAGCTAATGATAACAAATGAAACTCGCCAAAAATGATTAGCTAATAATCAAATATAGAAAGGCATTATCACAATTCAATTAGCGGCTCGTGTCTAAAACATCCCACTAAATCCTTACTACAATACTCTCGGCTATTTATAAACCACATAGTTCTAAAACTATACTTGTTATACCTGTTATTCATTGACAGGTATTAATTACATCAAAGTTGTCTGAATCCGTTTCCATGCACTATTAATACACGAAACAGGTGTATTATTAGTTCATCTTCCATTATTTGTAATTTTTGTTTGTTTTTTTACACGATTTTTTTTAAATATCTTTGGCAAAAACACTGTTGGTTTTTAACTCTTAATTAAATCGGGTATTAAGAAATATTGGTCGAGTGAAGGCACCTTATAGAGCTTTTTAAACGTATAGATAGCAATTTGTCTAGTATAGCCTAATTTCCCCTAAAAGATATGCATACAGTTCTTCTACAACAGCCTAAATTTCCCTTAAATCGTGTATTAGGAAATGTAGGCCCAACAGCGTCGCCTTTTTATGTTTTTTAAACATACATATAGTAGTTCTTCTAGCATCTATAGGCTAATTTTCCTTTGAAGTATTTAGAAAGGTAGGCCCAACAGTGCCAACTTTCAAACATTTTTAAACATGCATATAATATTATTAACCACTATTTTTTTAAACTGATTTTTCTTTATTCTAGCATAACTAATTTCGCTTAAATCGAGCTGTAAGAAATATTGACCGAGCAGCGCCGTCTTTTAAGCTATTTAAACATGCATGCAGTTCTTTAAGCATGGCCCAATTTTACATTAAATCGTGTATTTAAAAACATGGACCCAGCTGCGTCGCCTTTTTCAGCTTTTTAAAACATGCATATAATAGTTTGATTATTATCCATTAATGTTTTCATTCTTCTAGTATAGTCTAATTTCCCCATAAATCATTAAACATACATATATATATAGTAGTTCTTCTAGCCAAATTTTTCCTTATATTGTATATTTCTTTTTTTCCTAAATTAAAACATGGATATACACTAACTTTATTAATACTAATTCTCGTTCTTCTAGCATAACATAACTTTTCTTTAAATCGTGTATCTAGAAATATAGGCCATTTTAAGCTTTTTAAAACAAATTATATGTTGTAGTTGGTTTAGTATCCTCCAATGTTTCTGAATAACATTTTAATATATGTTGATATTCAATGAAATCAAAGTAATACATATAGCTTTATATATCGGAATAAATTTTAAAAATGAAATTTTAAACAATATAATACAAAAGATTACATACCTCCGCCATTTTTAAAACAGATATAAGGAAATCTCCAAACATTTCCTAAATCAACAGCAAAACCGACAACTGAGAGTAAAAATTCTGTTTTCTTTCCCCAACTTTCCCTTTCTGGCTCTTCTTTTTGTTTTTCAATAATTTTTGTAGTCCCGTCCATGATCATAGGAAGTGTCGGATCAGGAGTCATTTTAAAACACCTTTACCCTAAATGAACATGAAAACTTTCAATCAATATACTTCACGTGTCTTTTCGCGCGCTTTCTTACGCTCATCTGCTTTCGCGGCTAAATGTCGTCTGCTATGGAATTCGAGTGCCAATTTCGGAAGCCATGAAAATGCATGTAGTTTGCGATCGATCGGTCTTAATGCAATGAAACAGTTAATTACCGAACCGCTATCAGATCAAACAGACATCTACCAGACGAGATTGGGCCAAATTTGTATAATGTGTTCTTTATGTATCAGCATTGTGACAGACGCCAAAATTTTCTATTGTCTTTAAATGTCGACATTGTAGAACCATTCTTTACTTAAGGAATAGAACGTTGTTACGTCATCAAAGAGGCATGGCGCGTGTCATAGGTTCGGAAAAGGAAACGACGAGTAATGAGAATCTATCATGTTACATTTCAGTAAGATTTACAACAATCTAAAATTTGTAACCTTATTCTTTTTTCCGGAAATGTACACACGTTATCCAAATATTTCTTATTCCTTTTTCTTCAAATCTTATGTCCAAGTTTAAAGGGCCAATCCCGATAATATTTTGGAGAATAAAACTGCTTAATTTTGTGTTAAAATCCCTTAAAATACTCTACCTTTAGGCCGAGCAACTAATATATGTGATACGTTTTCAAACAACTTAAACCCCTCAGTCCTCATCTGGAAATGGAGACCGGTGTCCCAAACTCAAACGACTTAAAACCAGACCTTTTTTTGTATTATAAACCTGTAACGGTAAATCTCTTTGATCTTTGGGGTATATTCTATGTCCGGAATAACTTGAGGTCTGAAAGTCGGGGGCGGCTTTGGGTATATACAGGTAAATTTGGGGTTATTCTTCTGAAAGTTTTTCTTTAAACCTGTACCGGGTTATTCTTCCAGGGGAGGTTTTTTTTCCATAAGAAAACATGATATAAGGGTTTTCTTAAGGGAATTCTGGGATATTCTCATCTTGCGTACATGTAAACATAGACGGTTTATAAGCAAGATAAAGTGCTCGACTTCGAAACCCTCGACAGAAAAACCTCGGCCGGCCGGACTTGGTTTTTCTTTTTCTCGGATTATTTTCTTCAGTCTTTCTTTCCCCAGCATAACCTCAGTCTCGTGCTTTATCCTACACAGAATAATGTGTAGGTGAAATTTACCGTTCGTTATCAAGTACAGCACATGGGTCATTCATTGTATAGACCTCTAAAGGAACGGGAATCGATTATCAGGTCACCCAACGAAAAACTTGACACAAAATCTTAAAAGGGTTACGTATCCGGATAAGCAATTTTGACATAATGATTCAATATTTTGAGCTGAAATTTTAAGACAAGGTAAATACGCCATTCCTCTATATTTTGGCGCTTAAATTTCATACGTACTCAGACTTTTATTTTGAGACTCTGTTCAAATCGGGATAGTCCCTTTAAAGTGTTTCGTCAATTATAGACAATGCTTAAATGTACATAGGTACAAATATTCTGTATAAATGTGTTTCGTCAATAATAGACAATGCTTATAAGATTGCATGTACACACATTTATTAGGGAGAAATGGGGTTTAACGTCTACTCGACACAAACTTTGCCATTTCGGGACTAATGTATGGTTCAATTTAAACTTAATAATTTGCTTGCGCGTAGGGGTCTTTAGCAGCGGGGCGACACCAGAGGACACGAAGAAAACTCACGAGGTTGAACAAGCGACCCTACTCCATGTCAAGTAAAAGTAGGGAATCGAAACCACATCACTTGACTTCATGACAGACCTAATGATCCAAAGCGCATGCATTAAACTATTCGGTCACTCCCCTCCCCCAGTCTGTGTTAGACACATATCACACATTAACCTTTTAAGCAAGTTCTTGAGACAGACGATAAACCTTTATTTTATCCATTTTAAGATATCAAGTTTTTATATAGACACAAATTCCTTTAAGATTTCCTATTTTTATCATTAATATGTATTTTTGACCGAAAAACTAAATTCTAGATTCCAATTTATCATTTCACTATAAAGGTCTTGCCTTCAAACAATGAAAATGACGAGTATATGACAATTATGTCGCAACAACTACGTAAACGAGGAGTCCTGACACCGCCGAACCCAATTCACATAATTGCGAAATTTTACGGAGCCTGGGGCGAGTCAATGGCGGAGTACTACTCCCACTCAAAATACTTCTTATTGGGATTAAGGGTCTATATTAATGATTTGTTTTGGCGGCTAAAGTTTTCTATAATTAAATACAACGACACCGTAAGCGTAAATCTAGTACTATCAAGATGTTTATTTTTTTAGTAGAAAATAAAAACAACTTTCTAACTGCGCCATGTATGATGTCCAACAACTTGAAGCTAGAACCGTTGGTCATCTTTGCAATCAGACTTCTAACTCCAGTTATGGACCTTGAGGATTTTGTTGGTTGTCGACGACCTTTGTCAAGGGTTTTATCAACAAGCCAAGGATGTATTGGCCGTGTGCACATACCGACTGATAAAAATTATGAAAACGTCAGCAAAATAATAAACATACATTATGCAAGAGGTAAATCTGCCTAAAGAAAGACCTGAAATGTTATCTAAATTATTAATTGGACATTAATTAACTTATCCATCGCTCGCCTGCGATTTTTATTGGATTAGGTTCCGATTTGCTGCTCGACTTCCATTCATAATTAAATCATGAAATGGATAAAAAAAAAATTTATCCTACCGACTTTAGTAATGATGATCGAGGCTAGGCCGAAAATTCAATCGCTAAAATCTAGGTTAAGAGTGAATCAATTTGACTGAAATTTTCAGCACATTCCCTTTACATTATCTAGGTTTTAACTATTATAGTGAGAACTACAAGCTCTTTATCTATTCTCCCATAATGTATCTTTAAGTTTCCGTACGCGAAGTTGTCAGCACCTGCTTAAGTTCTATGAATGTATCCGACAAGGCCACTGCAACAGTTCTCTAGAAAGAGTAAGTTTACCCGGAGGTATAGTTTGAACTTGGAATTTAAATGCCGAGCTGCAAGGCCATCCCGGGGCAAATAACCATAGGCAATCACTGACACAGTTATTTGAATATACATTTACAACACAAAGGTTAGCTTTTGCTTCTCAAATCAAACTTTTACCCGATCTGCCTATAATAAATACCCAACGCGGGTAGTACTGTTTGTAGAACATCTGATATCCATTATTAACCACTGATAGGGCCGCGTGTCCAATCTTATGTGATTTCTTCGGATCCTTCGGTTTCCCCCTACTGCTAAAGACCCCTAGGCGCAAACGAAATGTTGAAATAAAAATTGTGTCGATACTGATGCGCATGCTCAAATAAACCTTGTCCATTCTGCACACATAGCTTGAGAACACACCTCTGCCCTGAATGGTCGCCATATTTAAAAATTAGTGTACCATTTTGTTATGCGCATGTAATCCATTTTACTTCTTTACTTGAGTAAATAAACATTTGAAATTTCATTAAATATGAAAACAGAAGCGAAATAACTACTTTTCAAATTTAGCGAAATAAACATAGAGTTTTCGACTAAAATGGTCAATGTATGAATTAAAATGGTGGGCAACTCGCTTCGTGTCTGTTCATATGAACGTTTCCTTCCGAACAATATAGTGAAATCAACTGCTGTTACAAGAGTTTGCCTTTTAATATTTAAAAATATGATTACTAAGCACAAAAGCTGCTCGAATTTAGACACCCGACCGACTTCGCCCAATAAATACCTTGTCCGTAAATGGTGCCATCTGTTCGTATAGCTTATACGCTTTTTTCTCCATATATGCATGTGAATTTAAACATTTGATCCCGTGCAATCCGACTGGAATTGATTCGGAATCTTATTTCTATGCTTATTTCAAACATATACGGGGATTTACGTTGACGTCACGGGTATACATCTTGGGATAACCAGTTCAGTAGACATGATGGCGGCATGTTTGTGTTTGACAAACCAATATCTAATTAGGGCCATAAAGGTTCCTACATGTCTCCTATTTCTAGTCGGTATTGTATAATTGTTGATTGTATTATGTTTTATTGGTTTTATTTATGAAGCTTTTGTCAATCTAGATTTGGTTTCCTTTGAGTTTTGATGCTGATATAATCTATATCATTGAATACTGAGTTGAGGTGATTGACGTTTAGGATAATAAAGGAACAACTCGTGTCAGATAAAGAACATAAGAAAATGTATAATCATTCCAGATATGATATAAATAAATTGAAATAACATATTTTTTATACAATTTGATGAATGGTTAAATTATGGTTTTCAGGGTCGCCATAACTCAGCGCCGCGTAATTCCTTATTATGTGTGGGTTTTATATAAGAAATGAAATGAAATGAAATGAATGGGGTTTAACGTCCTACTGATCTTCGTCTCATTCTGGCAAGGACAGCTGTCTAGTCATTCGGATGAGACGAAGAATCGAGGTCCCGTGTACACATTGGCGTGCACGTAAAAGATCCCTTGATAGTTGGAATTCGATATAAGAGTAAGCCGTAGTGCCGCTGTCCGGTCAAAATTTCCCCCGAAGGATATCAAAGGTCCATATTTACTTTATCGGCTAACATAATTCGTTATTTAACTTCATGGCATAAAATGGACGTCCGTTGTTTAATATTACACATCTGCGCCTACATATTTGACCTTGATTTATCTTGTTGAGATTTTCCGGCTAAAGTAATAATATAAACATTAACGCCTTTCTGCCCAGTTGTTTTTAAAAAAAAGAAGGCGCATTTTTACGCTTTTCAAATTTCCAAAATGTAGTTAGATTATTATCCGTTTAATGTTTCCGACCCTCAAGCATAGCGTAGTTCACCTTTAAACATGTAGACCCAGCAACGTCACCTATTCGAGTTTTTAAAACATGCCTATAGCAGTTCTTCTAGCATAGCCTAATTCCCTTAAATCGTTTATTTCGAGAGGTAGACCTAGCAGTGTCTTCTATCATAGCCTAACTTCCACTTAAAGATACATTATGGGAGATTAGGTAAAGAGCTAGCTAAAAACAGTTAAAAACTAAATAATGTAAAGGGAATTTGCTGAAAATTTCAGTCAAATTGATCCACTCTGAACCGAGATTTTCGCGATAGTATTTTCGGCCTAGC